CTCACTTACATCTAGCAGGTCCTCTTCGGAGATGACACCACGCACAGTGTTCAAAGTCCTGTGCGGTGTTACCGTGACTGAGGTCTCCACGATGCTCTTCATCTTCTGAATGGCCACACTTTGCTCTTGTGTGGTGACCTCAACAAGGAGGTCCCCAGAATGCAACTTTTTTGCTTGGTAGGAGTGTCCGATCAAATGCTCAAGAACCTTGGCAACAATGAACGGAGACAGCTTGGCGGCAGGGCGTTGATTGTCTTCAGAGTGGACTACAAAAAACTTAACAAAGTGTTCTGTTTCTGGTGCTTTGGCGATGACTTGTTCCGGACAGGGCCGTTTGGATGCCTGCCTGGAACCGGGTTTAGAGAGAGAGGGAGCCATAAGAGGCGGAAAGTGTTCAGAACCTGTGGTGTGCCGCCCACCACGGAGCCCAACAAGGGAATAGTTAACGGACCATAACAAAAAGGGCTTTGCTGGAACCGTTAGACTATTAGCACTGCCCAGGTACTATAACCAAGTGTGGTTTTGGACGAGGAGTCTGTCGCCACCCAAGGTTAGCCCTTGCCGCCAAAGGAAATGAAAAAAGGAAAGAAGAGAAAATGAGAAGAGTGAAAAGAAGGAGAAGACAAAGGTAAAAGAGGGGAGGGGATAGTAGAAGTGGCGACTGACTGAATCATCCTGGTCGGGCCAAGCCAGGACACCCGTCTACGGGAAGCGGGGGCCAAAGTGGTGTATTGCCTCACCCGGGGGGCCCCGAAGGGTCCAAACCTAACCCGGGTTCGACTCAACCACCAGGATGCCCTTTTCCCCGGACACGGGAAAGCCACGCACAGCCAGACGTGGGCGGGTGAACCCGCATGGCTCGGGGTCCGTGGAGACGCCACTCTCCAAACACCTGTTTTCACAGGTGCCCCCTGCGGGGTCCCCCTCGAAAGCTCCTAAAAAGTGAAAGGGGGGACACTACCCAAAAAAGTAAATTTTTGAACCACTTGTCCGATTTAAATTATATTTACAGGGCTTGTTTCTGTTGATGTTGAGAACATTTCTGCCAATTTTTGTTAACCTGGGTGAAGTACAAAAAAAATTGCAAACGTTCAAAGACGAAAGTGGGCGTGTCTGCGTAGGAAAACTATCGTTTTGAAATTACTTATAAATTTGTCGTTTTCATGTGTTACATTGCATTAGGACAGTTCAGAGCAGATAACTATGGAGCTATATTTCTATGTTATACCATCTTTCATGACAAAAAAGCCACATAAACACAAATACAGTTTTTTAAGTTTCGATCCTTTGTCCAAAATTTTAATTCTTGAGCATGAAAAATGACAAAAATAAAAGAAAGCCTACCGAGAGAAACCTAGGTAATCAATACTTCGACACAGCAATCTTTGAGTTAGAGAGGGATTTTCGTAGCAGCGTATGTTTTAAACAAGAAAATTCATGTTGATGAACATGCGGCGGTCCTTATGTTTCAGTTTAGGAAGCTCCATATCTGCAGCGTCGTGTGGCCGTTGATTTCAGGAGCGAGAGCTTCAGCTAAAAAAGTGAGTCCCGCCGTGCCAAAACATAGTTTCGTTTCACAGCGTCACGTCATGGCTGGTACCCAGCACGCTAGCTTCGCAGGACACACACACACGCCGGCATCTATTGTTAAGAAAAAAAAAAAAGCAAGACGAGATTTACGCTTACGAGACGACGAGAGCGTGAAAGAAGAGACGGCATGGCGGAAAAAACCATGCAAAAAACCATGAACGATTAATGCAGGGTATTTTGAGTCGGGTGGCCGCTTGCGCCACCTTGCTCATGCATGCTCAGTTACGGTACTTAGTTTTTGGCCCTTTGGCGCAGGCTTGGTGCACATTACCCATATTTTGGCAAAATGTAGCAGGATGTAACACGGTTAGCCCCTTGGCAGAGTTTGGCGCAGCAATCACATCACAGTGCACAGGCTTAATCCTTAATCCAACTTGCATCTTCCGAAATATTCGGGTTCGTCCAGTTCGGATTAAACGAGCACTTCCTTGCTGCCGACATAGTCAGTGAAAGGGCACTTCCAAAAGCACAATGAAAACACGACGCTCAGCTACACATGTCAGTAATTGATTGGCAGCATGGCTGCCAGATGCACACTTTCGGATACTTTTTTGACTTAAGGCTTGAATTGGATTGGGGTCTGCGGTTTTCCCATTTGTTACTAAATCTAGTAGCTTTAACTGGATCTAGCCCTAGTGCAGCACCCTCAATCCAACCTAATCCAAGGCTTGGACTAGATTTGTCGGCAGTTGCCTCTGCATCGGGTAGCACACTCTACATCGGGTGAACAGAGCTGAATTTATCGCCATTTTTTTCTGTCCCCAAGTCTTTGCTCAGGGCACTCGATGGCGTTTCCGGCTCATTTTTCCTGACTGGGCTCGTTTTTTGACAATATCCTTGACAATTCCCCGATAATTAAAATTTCCCTGATAATTCCCTGTTTTCCTGGTCACTAGGCACCCTGTTAACATACACTCTAAATTAAATTTGTTTTAAAAAGGGCCACAATATGCAAATGAGAATGTGTCAACCTGCGCTTCATTCAAGATTTGATTTGCTTCTTAGCAACTCCATTGGTGCACTTGTACTATGAAGTGACCATTACGTTGTACAAATGCACAGGAGTTATTGGCTTATGCACCAGATGTTCAAACAAATTTGAACTGGCCTCCACCGCCTAGGGTGCACAAAAACAACTCGTTTCTGCATTTCTTTTTTTATTGGGCTATATCACGATTTATTTCGCAAGTATCACAAATCCATAAAATAGTCATGTATGTGCTACGCTTCGATATAAAACGCGCATGATAGTATTGCACCTTTTCCTTTCTTTGGGCTGTGAAAAAAGGATGCAACAAATGTTTGATTCTTGGTGCAAAAAAACAACAACAAAAAAATTGATTTTGCATTTTATATTGAATTGGGAGGCATAAGCGGTGTTCAGGCGTTACCGAAGAAAGGTAACGATATATGTTACTGGCAAAATAAACAAGTGCATTATCGACCTATGTTACCTCGAAATAAAGGAAATGTGTTACCATTAAGAACGCACGTTACTCTTGCATTACCTTTTATTTATAAATAGACGGTAACCACATTATTTTTTTGCTACATTAATTATCGCAACAATATAAGTACAGTGTAATCCACTTATAACGATACCAGATATAACGATATATCGCTTATAGCGATCAAATTTTTTAGATTTGTCAATTCTCCCATCGCCCCTATGTAAAAATAAACCATATATAACGATAGAATTATCGGCGACATATCGGATACAACGATAGAATTCTGGCCGCCCGGAAGGTGCTTATCACGAAAAATTTGCCTGGAAATTTGAGAAAAATTAAAATACTTGAAGCGAACGACATGAAAACTAGTAAAAATATCAAAAACCGGTCGGCGTGGAAAGATCCGCTAGGTGACGCGAGGCGCCGCCCGATTTAAAAAGTTCAGCCTCATCCTTCGGAACTCAGTGCTATCGTCATCGCAATCGCTGAAGGGAGGAGAGAAAGAGCTTGCTTGGCCGCCGCCGCGCAACGCTTCCTAGTTTTCCCCCGTTTCCGCACGTTCGTACGTTCGTGAGGTAAAAATGGCGCCGACTAAGCGCAAAGCGATATCTCTGGAGGTGAAGCAGCGAATTCACCGGGATTTCCGACAAGGATTCAAGGTTGGTAGCCTCGCAAAAAGATACGAGCTGTCTCAATCAACGATTTCTACAATCATCAAGGCTGGAGATGTCTTGAAGAAGGCTGGCACCAGCGGTCACGACGACCAGCGAAAGCGGGTTAGGGATCCTTTGTACGGCGACGTTGAAGACTCCCTGTACCAGTGGTTCTTGACCACTCGCAACCGGAACGTGCCCATAAGTGGACCTATTCTTGCCGCAAAGGCGAAGAAATTTGCTTCCCTTCTGGGACGGGAAAACTTCGAACCCGGCGGAGGATGGATTCAGCGGTTCAAGGATCGCCACGGCATCGTTTATAAAAACGTCGTCGGGGAGGCTGCCTCGCTGGACAGCAATCGCGACGAAAAATCACATCGAGCGACTGCGAAAGTAGTGACGACGACGGCGGCGACGAGAACACCCCGCCTCCAATGTCTTCACAAAATGCCCTGCTCTCCATCCAGTCGCTGGTCGGTTTTGTGCACGCAAAAGGACTGCCGCCAGCGTACGCGCAACAACTGGAAGCAATGCACACGGCAATTGTCAAACTTCAGCTCAAGCAAGCGCAAATTTCCGACTTTTTTAAGCATGCTTAAATTATTTTATAGTCATTTTCGTACCTTTTAATAAAGCCTTCGGTTTTCTTTGCCTCGGCTCGCGTTGTACGACCTGATTCACTCATCGCCCGTAAGTAACTTCTCTTTGTGTTTTTTTTTTGTCGGTCCAGATATAACGATAATCGGCTATAACGATTGGATTTTGCGGTTTTCTCAATATCGTTATAAGTGGACTGCACTGTAATGACTTGGCGCCTATACTTCGTTTCAGCTCAAGTCCAGATGCAACCGACTGTACGAGCTACTGGGATCTATGAAGCATCAAAAATGCAAGTCACTCTGCCTTTTTTGTTTATGCTGAAACCAAGTATAGATACAAGAAAAAAAAATTAACTACTTTTCTTTTTCAGGCTGTGGGAAGAAGTTGTAACGAGTAACGTGACTATATTACCCACTCGAAATAAGTAACGCAAGTATGTTACCCATTACTGTTTTGAAAAAGAAACGAGTGTGTTACTATGTTATCGAGAAATGTAACGTCTTACTGGTAACGCTTTTACTTGCAACGCGTTACCACCAACACTGCACATAAGTGAACAATTTGAGGATTTTTACACCTTGCAGGTGCAGATCATATTGAAGCAAATAAAGAAAAAAAAAAGACAAAGTCTGAAACTGCACTAGAGCTCCCTTACATCCAAGCAAACTGCCCTCCCTCACACCACGAAAAAGTGCCGACTCACCTTCCCAGCACGTTGCCCACGTGCGTCCTGGCCACCGAGAGGTATTGGTCGATCTCGGTCTGAAAGACCACAAAGCATCCATAAGTACCTCTCAGTTGGGGTTTTGAGGCACATTCGCAAACCTTTTCCCCACACCTGCCGTAACATGCAGAGAGGTAGCAGTCTACCCAAACTTAAAAGCAAACTGGGTGAATGTTGAGAAGCGGGCAGACCCTCGGTGCGCAACCAAAAAAGCCCCAAAAAGATTGCTGCAGCCAGTCCAAGAATTCTAAGCCTTCCAAGAAATGTGGCGGTCGTTTCATCAACGACCAACAGATTCGACTTGAGGCACAGAATCGTTCGGACGTCTTCGCAACGACTGTCGCTCACCCCAGGGAGTTAATGAACGAAAGCGACCAAACTTTCAAACACCGTCCAACACTTTCCTCGATTTTAGGAGCCTGGCAAACACGGATTACGCAGTTTACCCAAGGTCTCCACCGCATCGAAAGTGGATGTTTCCCATGGCCGTCATTTTTTCCGCGTTCTTTCAATGCATACGCGACCTTTGAATGTCAAGTGTCGTCTCCAAGCAATTTCAAAAACCACCAAAAAAAAGCCCACCCTGCTGGAAAGGGCCTTTTTCCTCTTTCCACGTGTACGATTGTTTGCTCGATTTTTTTAACTTTTATATATTCAGGTCATGACTTGTGTAGAAAAGTCTGTGTGCAAAGAAAAAAACGTGACTCATTTTGCGCTTTATATTGAAGTGCGACGCAGAAGTAAATAATTTCAGAGTTTTGTAGACTCGGCGGAGCTGCAGATAACGATAAAAAAAAGACAAGCAAGAAATTGCACGTAAGCAAATGCCACTCCCTTAGGCCACGGAAAAGTACAAACAACTGGCTACACTAGACAAAAATATTCAGCCCTTTGCATGCCCCCAAAATAAAAGTAAGCCAACTGACCCACCTAAAAATTAAATCCAAGATTATTCAAGGTCGTAACTGGAACCGAGTCAAATGAAGATATACGCAAGTCGGGAGAAGCTAGAAGTACAACCATAATGCAAAGTCTTGGAATTTTTCTAATTCTTTATTGGCCCAGTATGGAATGCCAACCTCCACAGATGGCGGAACTAGGTGCCACAAAGCCCGACTAAGCGAGTCTGTACCGCGCACAACTCGTAACAGCAACAACCAGACTGCATGTCTCTGGAACTGGGTGCGTGCCTTCCAAGCTGCAGCCAACGCAGAGAGTCGCTCACCTTGTATGTCTCGTAGACCTTGGGTAAGGTGAACAGTGCCACGTACGCTGCGGAAAAAGATTCAACGGCATTGGCCTCGCGCGGTTTGGACACTGCACGTCGCACTGTCGCAGCCCCCACCCAGAAACGAAGAGGAGAAATGCCGGGTCATAAAGGCGGAGAACATGCACGTCAGGCCGTCGCCATTTAAAGACATTTGCCAAGCGTCTGCCCAAGAGGCGAGAACGGAGGGGAGGAGCTTCAGCTTCCCCAGCAAGCAGAGACTGATTGCTTAGAGACACTCTAGCTTTTATACCAGAAATAACCGGTAAACTATGACCCAAGGGCGGACGCTCCCTCAACCCTGCCTAAAAGAAGGAAGTTGCTTACGCACGACCGAGCTACACCCACGGCACGCGGCAATAAGAGCAAAATCCAGACCAAAGTCTCATATGCTAACATAGAAAAGCTGACGGGGTCCTCCTAACATTGAATCGACACATCGGCATTTGCAGCAGACACCGCATTAATTCGTGCAAGCGTCGTCCACGATTGTAAACGAATCCCTTCAATTTCCCAGATTACAATTCAGTGCAAAGAAGGATACCAGCTCAAGATCTTTAGTCTGCTCTTGCCACAAGACACACAATACTTGTAAAGTGCTCCCCAATGCCACGTCATGGTCCCTTCAGCTCTATGCGTACCACGGGAAAAGTATAACTTTTTGAGGAATGGACACAACTTTTTTTTAAAAAACCAGTCAGTATATGGCTAATTTTGATACATCAAAATGTAACCCATAAGCTCCTCCTTAGCACAGCAGAATGTTTACCCTAATGCCAAAAATAAAGTTTGTTAGTTTAAATACTGGACTTTGAATTTGTGCAAAAATAGGAACAATAGTCTATCCATTTGCAGCTATATCAAACCATACAATGACTTTAAAAAATGCTAAATATACAAAGTGTCTTATACACAGCACTATCACTTCGGAAAAAGCTCTAGCTGAAACTGCCTTTCTTTTTGGTCCTTCGACAAGTGTGTTTGTGGCGTCATGCCATTCAGACATGTTGTTGCATGCGGAGGTGCATGTCGTCCAGAAACCTTGCTTCTGCACAAAACCTCGCTTGGTGATAGCAGGACTCTAACTTCTCCACTGCCTTTGTTTTCATTGCTTGCGGCACAGATAAAATGCCTGCCCTGGCTCACGACAGTCCAGAGAGCTAGAACAACGCTCTCCAACGAGCACCCATCGATACTCTGCCTCGGACATAAAATGCTGCTGTAAATGCTCAAATAAAACAATCCCACATCATCCACAGTCCTCACTGCTGCTGCCATTCAAAAACCAATAGGCAAAAGCAGTTGGCAAAAGTGATTCAGGCCGTCTTTGTGGTGGTCCCAATGTCAGCAGGGCACCGTGTTTGACAAGTAGCACAGCCGTGTGGAGATTTGTTTCCGACATCTCACCAGCTTGGGAGAAAGTTCAAAATGAAATGAAGCTATAGTTCTTCGGCTATCCACGAGATGCTGCAAGATGTTCCTGCGTGACAAATTCAAACCTTGGTGCACGTGGCAGCCATCAATCACGGGCGATAGATGGCCTATCGACACAACATAGAGATGGCAGGAGTATGGCACACTCTAGTCTAAACGATACGGCACCCAAAGTGAACAAATCGCTGCAGGAAGTTGATCTGTTCTTGGCCAAGGTGGCCGAGGAGGTTCACTCACCCAGGATGATGAGGGTCATTCCGTTGAACCAAGACCCCACGTAGGTCAGCACCCAGAGCAGGAGGGCCAGCTTGGGACAGAGAACGGGAGAGGTCACACACGAGACATGCACACACACACTCTGCAGTTCTCGACCCCTCTGCACACACCTGTCCCTCCCATCGGGCAAAGAAAGCACACGCACCAACTCAATTTTGAAGATGCACATGCTGCTTTTTGCAGGGCAAGAGCAGCTACTCGCCCACGTTAACCCTTTCCATACGGGAGACGAGCTCAGCTCGTCAGGCATTTACTTGCAAAAAATACGGAAGACGAGCCCAGCTCATCCAAAATAGTTTCGCTGGTGATATGATCCTAAAGACGTCTTGAGCTCGTCCGTTGCTCTGCACTTGCTGGAAAAGGCACCAGATGGCGTAAGGAGCCCGTAGAAAGAATTTTTTTTGACAGGGGCTTTTGTTGTTGCGCTGGCTACCCTGTGCTTTAAAAATGGCGGCCCACGTAGGATGAGTCGACGATTCCTCACGTGGGGCAAAAAAAAAAAGAAAAAAATTCTTCAAGTGGAAGCGATGTGGAACTGGACTCCGGTGAGTCTTGGATAGACTACCTCACTTCCGATGAAAGTGAAGACGAGAGCACCGACGACAAACTCTTCACGTGTTTGGTCAAAAATTGACAGGAATAATATCCCTCGTGCACCGCCTCGATTTCCTTTCACTGGCTCTCCTCTTATCAACGTCCAACTAGACGAGGGTGGCGGAGTTGTGGAGTATTTCCTTCAGTTTTTTCATGAAGAGCTCGTTGATCTCATCGTCGCGCAACGCAGTTTCTTCGGTCGCACCAGCGCACGGCTGGTCACAGAAAAGCTTGGAAGTTAACCGATAGAAGAGAGCTGCTGGTGTTTCTTGCACTAATCATTTTGCAAGGAGTGATCGACAAGCCTGAAGTGAAATTTTACAGGTCGACGCGAGAGATCCTCCACACACCAATTTTTGGCGACACAATGAGCAGAGATAGGTTCTTCCTCCTGATGAAGTCTCTGCACTTCACGGACGAGTCACCGGACGATAAGCACCCTCATCCGAAACTTCGGAAGCTATGGCCTGTCCCGACTAGGCTCGTTGACAAATTTCAGGCACTCTACACGCCAGAGCGGGACGTGTCCGTCGATGGAAGCCTGCTCCGTTTCAAAGGAAGACTTTCCTGGAAACAATTTATGCCCTTGAAACGTGCTCCTTTTGGCCTAAAGTTCTTCGTTTTATGTGAAGCCTCCAGTGGATACACTTGGAATATTATGTTGTACACTGGAAAAGGATCTGTTGGTGGTAACGAAGACGAAGCCATGGGAACGCGTGTGGTCACATCACTCATGGGTCCGCTGTTGGACGAAGGATATTGTGTTACAGTAGACAATTACTACAACTCCCCAGAGCTTGTTGACAAGCTCATCGCACGCAAGACTGATGTCTACGGCACAGCCAGACCTTGTCGAAAGGAGATGCCGAACTTTGACACAAAACGACTTCGGAAAGGTGAGATAGAGGCGTTTCAAAGAGGCAAGTGTCTATGTGTCCAGTGGAAAGACAAGAAGCTTGTGACTTTCCTGAGCACTGCACATTCAGCAGGGAGCACTGATGTCACCGATCGGAAAGGGGAAGTGGTTTCAAAGCCGATCATCGTCATGGACTACAACAACACCATGGGCGGGGTGGATAAAAGCGACCAAAACCTCTCTTACTACCCGAGGGCACGAGATGGCCGAAAGACCTTTTACAAGAAGTTGTTTCGCCATTTAGTGGACATGGTAATTTATAATGCATTTCCATTACACACGAAGAGCGGAAATTCTATCAGCCATCTCGAGTTTAGACTGAGCTTAGTGGAGTGACTGATATAGCAAAACTGTGACAACGTGGGCCCACAGAGAAGAGGTAGGACCTCTGACCACTCCTTGACAAGGCTTACAGCACGACATTTCCCGACTACTTGCCGCCAACAGAAAAAAAGACGAACCCGACGAGACGGTGTGTCATTTGCACGAAGAAGAAACAAGGACACGGTGCCCTGATTGCAGCGTAGCCTTGTGCGCAATACCATGTTTCCGTGTGTTTCACACAAGCGCAGACTTGGAATTTTCTATGAAGCTCTAGTTCTTTCTTGCACAGAAGCTGCCCGTTTTTGTGGAAAACTGTGAGACAGTTTTTATTCCCCGTTTTGTTATGCACATTTTTTGTTGTGCAGTGAAGCCCACCTTTTGTTATTCTGCAATGCTAATAATAAACCATGCCTTTTTCACGAAAATTTGACACGTGGCTCTGGTTTATAAACCTTTCTGAACCATTTGCAGAAGTAAAAAATTTCAAGATTTTTAGCAAGTTTTTAGAAAAAAAAAAGCCGTTCCGAAAGGGTTAACAGTTAGAAGGAACCAATTTTTCTTAATATATCCATTTTAGAAATACCACAAAAAACTGATCAATAAGCAAGCCTCTACTGTACTTATTTTAATTTTATTTTTTCAAGGTTTGACTGACCACCTCTTCCGCACTCTAATTGTTAGGAATGTGACCGATACATTAAAGCAGTAACTAGGAACACAGCCACAGCCTATCCTAAAGGGAAGACGTCCAACAATAGGGACCCAGCATTTCGGGGCCTACTCTGCCGCTTCTTCGGGGCAGACTGTAGCGACAGCCATTAAAGAGCAGTATCTGAGGCAGAGTTTATTAGCTGTAGCTTTGCTCGCCTTCAGAGCTTTCTCCTCAAAATGAATCCCGTAACGCCCTCTAGAAGCAAGGCGCAAGCAATACATCCGGTCGCACCAACCTGACTAAGCACTGAACGTGTGCTTTAACCGTTTGTCTTTGTGCCAGTGGCTCGTGGGCTCCGCTTGCGACAGCTACGGTTCTAAAATGCAACCTTGTGAGCAGAAGAGGCAGAGCTAGATCATTGCAACATCCCTTCGCTCCGTTGCAAACTGTTTTAGAAAGCAGTTCCCAGATTATTCGTCCCGTAGTGACTGCAAAAAAGACTATCGTGTATCTGCGAGCTGGTAACCTATAGAGCCACTAAGAGAGTGAGACGGGCAAGGCGTGCCTCTCCAACGGCCAGCCCCCAGCATGCGCTCCGTGCCTTCCGCTGCGCTATGGCTGCGCGCATGCTCCAGACGCCCAAGCCTTGTTCAAGGTAGGAAGCTGGTGCAGGAGGCGAGACGCCTGAAGCTCTTTTGTGCTGTTGTCACCCTGTCAGTGACGAAGAAGCGGGCCACGCCTCCTGGGGCTGCCGTACCGTAACAAACGGTTAAATGGGAACTGCTCTACCTGGCCACAGACGCTGGTAAAAGCTAGTGACCACTGGCAGCACGATCCTATGTACCAACGTGGTCGAAGTGTCTCGTCTAGCGGCTCTACCCCGACCGTAGGGCTCTGCGGTGGGCGCACCTTGAGGGAGTCGACGAGGTCCTCGACCAGAAAGAGGCTGCGCAGGCGCGCCACCACCTGGTCGGCGTGCTTGGCCAGGACGTCCGCCGCCTCGTGCACCTTCTCCTTGGGCACGCTCAGGTCCTTGTCCAGGTACTCCCTGGAGGAAGACGACAGGGGCTAAGGACACCTCTCCAGGGCACTAACCAGGGACTACCTATTCATTTCAAGCGGAAGCTGTGTTGCCACCGGGTGGCCGAAATTGGAAATGTGCCCAAGCGGAGATACCGCCGTGCATCGTCGGCCACGGTGCATGTTCAGAAGCATGGATTTCGAGCACGCAAGCCCAGTTCCGGCTGAGCTGGACCCTCCTTATTAAATACTTGTTTCTTCTTACTAAAGGTGGTTGTTTGACTCGCGGGACTGTCCCACATTGAGGGCTCGTGTCCCGCGTCCCACGAGAAATATCAAAATCTCCAAAATGTCCAGCATTTCACACTGTGGTAGAATTCACTATGCAACTCCTGGTGCTGCTGAACAACGGGGCACGGGGAAGCGTGGAGGTCGCTGGTAAATGCGCGAATCGCGATGGTACACCATTTTCTATCCAAGCACTGTGGGAAGCAACCGTCGTTCTTGCAGGAGAACTAACAGGCGTGCGCCGTTGTCTCTTCCCTAGGTGTCAAAATACCGCCAGAGAAAATTGCTCACCAAAACTTGAAAAATAAATTATTATAATTATTTTCACATTGTTCTGTGTGAATGCAAAAAAAAATTAATGCAAAAAGCTCCTTTTTTTTTTTTTTAGACGACCACACAGACCGAATAGGCTGCAACTCACAATGGTCAAAACCGAAAACATACAGTTTGAAATTTGTGTTGGTAAAAATGTTGGTAAAAATAAGAATTGACAGGAAACAAGAAGCCGTAAAAGATTTACCGCTTCTTTCCTTTTGATGCATTGAGTTCTGCTGCAGTCGATTTTATGTTTTCAACGTAGACACATTTATTAACATACGTGTCATTAAAACTTGAAATATATAACTGGGAGTGAAAATCATTTGAGCTTCTTTGTCGCAATACAATTTGCAGCTGTATAATATGCTTTGTTACAGGACAGGATATTAAATGTGTTAGCAGAGCCACATTTCGTGGCGCGTGTTAATAAATTTCCTCACATATTTATTTTTTCCACGATGCTTTTTAACCTGAGACAGGGGCAAGAAGGGAAAAAAATATTTCCTCCTTCTGCCCCAGTCTCTTTCGTGTTAAACTATTATGATAAACTTCAACCAGCTTGACTGCGCACTAAATTTTTTTTGCGGTTACCAGAGTCCAAAATATAACTGTTCTCTTGCTCGTGCTGAATGTGAACCTCAACGACTAAACGCAAGCCCCAGCCAAATGCTGCATCAGAAATAAAGTAGTCCCGAGTAATTTATGTTTGTTGATGAATAGGGATTCAGTAAGACAAGCAGAATAAAACGAGAGAAAAAAACAAGTTAGCTTTAGCGGTGCTTATGCCTAAAAGCGCCCGTGTGTGTGGCTCAAGAATCAGACGGTGTAGGAGGGATGAGGGCCTTTAGAACCTACCGCTTCATCTAAGGAAGGATATTTATCCAATCATGGAAATTCCAAACCGTGGTCGGAAAAATATTTTTACCAGAACACAAGATACGAGCGATTGATATGTAAATATGTCATTTGTTTCGGGTCGTTAGCTTGACAAAGTTAAAGAAATTTTAATGGGACCCTGTTGAAAAGAATTCAACTTGGGCGGGGATATCTATTGAATAAATTATGTAAAAATTTAGGAAACTATTTTAATCGCAGCATAGAAAATATGGTTGTTCATTATATGAGAATGCAAACAATTGCGCACAATACTTAATCTGAAAAGCTATGAAACAAGTATTGCCAGACATCTCCATTCCTTACAATTCAAAAAAGTACAGAAGATTTTATTACTGCCGGAAACAAACCTCAGAAAACACCCGCAAGACATTGGCACTACCGAAGAAGGTATAAAAAGAAACAAAGGCATTTGAAGTTTGTACGTGTCTACTGGAAGTTTGCGAGAGATTAGGAGTGCTCGAGTGTTTTTCACATTTACCGATTCCACCCGAGCGATATTTTCCAGACATCGGGAAAAGCCATTTTCTCAAGACCTAGTTTGGGTTCTCCATCTTTTTGTTTTACGGACGTTTTTTCTGAAGTTCATATACCGAAATGGTGAAGGACCAGATGTACTGAAGCTTTCTTTTACATCAATATGAACTGCACTACGAGAGGTCATACAGTAGCTGTAGTATGTCACAAGGTGTCAAGAACAGGGCTGGCAAGACATCAACTTGGCAGCAAGCTCCAGACAGAAGTACCCTAGGGAAGCTAAGGGCTGTGCCCACCAGCACGAGTAACGAATCCGCCGTGTGCGCACGTCATTCCTGGAGGACAGATGTGACTTTCTTCACTGTTGCACCCAGCTAAAGAGCCACGTCGTGCAGGCAGAGTTTAATGGCCCTTGTTACAAGCAGTTTCCAAGGGCAAGTCCAAATTTCCCCCAAAATCTCGACTGGTAAAAAGTTGTCCATTCCAAGACGAGTTTTTCAAAATTTAGGAGCTCAAAATCGAACCTCACACCCAAGCCGTAGGTGGGGACCAACTAGATTCTATCCTTGCCAACATCGAGAATCCATAAAATATCCAAAACATCTCTTCGTAAAAAAAAAAAAAAAAAAAAAAAAACACAAATAAAGATTAAAAGAGTGTGGTGGCCCAATTTACAGAAGCAAAACATTGATTAGCCACATCAAAACAGAATTTAAGCCGGTGCATTAGGTCTAAATGATATGGCCACCGTCACGTCTAGGGCTGGAATTCTACATCCCCGAATTTTTCCAGAGAGGAAGCTCTAATAGCCCCTTCCCGTGACAAAGAGCAAGAGCGTACAGAGCAGATTCCCGCGCCCCTCTCGGGATGCGAGCGATCTCTGCGGATATCGGGTCCCAGATCTGGAGTTGGTGGAACTCTAGTGGGACTCCGGCATAAATGGTCCCAAAGTAGCAACAAACCATGCCGTAGGAGCCGGAACGTCCCCGTCGGGCGACCCTGGCAGTTTAGCAGAAGCTCTGGCAGAAAGTATGAGCGAATAAGAGTGTCGTCGCAGCAACCCAACTTCTGACTGCAAAAGCTCTCGTGGACTGTCAAGCTGTGGAGCGCATACCTCGGCAAACTCACTCATGAACTCGCTCACTCACGCTCACTCACACTCACCGCGTGACTGTGAGTGGCTGTGAGCGAGTTCGTGAAGTTTGAAGAGTTCATGATGTGATTGTGAGTGACTTCGTGAACTCGGATCAGCTCATGATGTGATCGTGAGCGACTTCATGAGCGTGATGAGTTCATGACGAGACGGTGAGTGACTTCGTGAGCGTGATGAGTTCATGATGGGGTGGTGAATGACTTCGTGAGCGTGATGAGTTTGTGATGGGATTGTGAGTAGTATCGTGAGCGTGATGGGTTCGTGATCTGATGGGGAGTGAATCTGTGAACTCTAAAACATTCGTGATCGTGAGTGAGTTCATGAGTTCATTCAGACGCTGAAATGAGTTTGGCTGTTGGCGTTTCTTGCGAAAGTTGTGCGGCTTGACTTTGGAGAGCTGAGTAAAACGCCGCGAAAGGGGGGGGGGGGGGGGAGGGAGGGAGGGAGGGAGGGGAGGGATATTGATGGCAAGGGTGGTGCGGACCGCGTGGGTGGTGAAGTGTTTCTTTTTTTCTTTTTTTGTAAACGTGCGACTGTTGTGTTTGGTTGTGTTTTCATTGCGTTTCCGTGCTTGAGCAGATGGATGAGCTTGAGGGGGCGTCGCAGAAGCAAAGCTGCAGAGAGGTTTTTGTGTAGTCGGCTCGGCATGGATTACGGCGCCTTCCGCGCGTAAAAGAGGAGAGTCGTGGGCTGGGGAGGTGGCGTTCGCAGTGCAAGGAGCTGAAGTTTGTTTGCCAGCAATTTCATGGTGATTGATTGAAAGCACGTTTATTGTCGAGTTGTGTTCGCGCAGCCTTTGGAACGTTTGAAGTGCTGTGTGCATCACGCACATCGGGCTGGGCAAAAATCGGCGGTAGCGGGGCTTGTATACCTATAGAAATGGAGTCATCGAAGATAGCGGGCGAGAATATTTACTTCCACTGCCACAAGCTGGCAGGGGGGGGGGGGGGTGGCACTTGAAAGGTCGCGCTTACCGCAGTGTCTAGCGTTAGGTCCTGCGGAGCCCGAAATAAAAATTAAAGTTACGTCCGACCGAACACGAAATAAAAATTAAAATTACGTCCGACCGAATTCGAAATAAAGAGTGAACTTACGTCCGACGGAGCCCGAAAAAAAATTAAAGTTACGGTAAACGGATAGGTGGGCTAGTTGGTCGATGTTTAACTTGTGAAGGGCCTAAAAAACGAGGACACGAGGAAGACGAGATAGGACCAAGCGCTTTTAACCAATTAACGAATGCTGCATCGGACGTAACGTAGTAATAATTCACGATATGTTTTCGTTTACATCATGTATAGGCCATAAAGTGTAACATTCAATAAGGTTGCGTAGGTTACACAGGACATAACTTAAACTTTTATTTCCGTCTACTTTAATTTTTACTTTAACTTTAATTTTGATTTCGAATTCCGTCGGACGTAACTCGAAACCTTGGGGTAAAATGACTTTGGACGTAACTCTAATCTTTATTTTGGTTTCCGTCGGCAGTAAAGCTAGAAGCAAGGAACGCGGTGAACACGTTTCCAAGCACGTGTCCACGGATAAAACGATGTCCGCGCTCAACACCTGCTGCTATACTTCGTCTAACCTTAGCATGGACTACTGTTAACCGGGAATGCTAAAAGCGCGAGCTAGTTGCTTTGGATGAAACTTGGTCGTCTGCACGAGACGATCTGCAGGCTGATATTTATCGCACAGAAATGTTACATACTGTATTCTTTTAACGACACACTTGTGAACCTGATAATGGGTTCACAATCGTTTCCTAACTAACTCGCCTAGCTGTATTTTCTCCCTTCTAAAAAGCTATTGACAAAACGATATGTTTTATATGCTAGCATCGAACACTTTACTATCTTAAAAGTGGCATGAAACCGTTTTCGCCTGTTCCGGCTTCCGCGCAATTTGGGGTTGCTTTTTTTGCACGTGTCTTTTTTGCACAATCATGCCTTTATGTTTGATACACGTTGTACGATTTTAAGTAAGCTTTTTTTGTTGCGTCGTCGCTTGTGCGGCCATAAAAGTGCGATGGAAGCTACGGTGCTTAACGTTAGAGCTAAGACATCGCAAGCGAAATCTTATCATATTATTTGGGTTTTAATTCCCTTTACACATAGTACTTGCAATTTTCGATTGCAACATCACTCGTGCGGCAAGAAAATAATAATAATAAACCGTGAATGGCACTTAAAGTGCGTGCTGTCTTTATTGGCTTTATGCCACACGAGTACAAATATCATGCACAATCGCACAACGTAAGATCGGCTTAATTCGGAGACATTCCGAAAGATCCCCAGATGGTCGAAATTAATCCTCAACTCTCCGCTGGGGCGTACCAGAAGCCCTTCGTCAAACTCGTAAACGTCATTTTTTTATTTTTTTTTCTTTGAGACGCGTGATTGAGTTGTGCATTGGCAGCGCACGCGGACGAATGCAGTTCTCACATGAGCCAGAAGTACAAGCAGCGACACATACGCCTATATCCTTCGATAAATAACGATTCGTGATTCCTAAAAGTCGACAAACATCGTTCTTCAGACGTGCGAGAAACGTAAAGGCAGTACGTGCTAGAACGAAAACATTGTGGCTCGATCGATAGCTCATTCCAATACAATTCAGTGCTGCGCCGCCATTTGTTTCTAAGAGCCCGCGAAGCGTGTACCTGCTCATTGGCACTTTTGTTTTTTCGAATATAAGACATATGAAGCACATCAAGGGTTAAAGTGCCTCAATGTTGCTTGTGCGCTGCGCCAGCACAGCATCATTGAGGAACTCTATCCAAGGGCTTTAACCAGCACACTTACAAGCAGGGTGAAGAAAAAAAGGAGTTTATTTAAATCACATAATTTCTTGCTGCCTCAATTTGTATGAACCCTTTCCGCCAAATATTATTCTGAAAAACAGCATTTAATTTGATTTGGAGTTTCAGTCTTTCGGTACTTTTAATTTAAACGCATATGTGTGACTGATATTGAATAATCAAAAGGGAAGAATCATTTCTTGGCACGGCGAAGAAAAAAATAAATGGCCCACGTCTGAGGTGAGTACAAATCAGTCTATGAGGAAACAGCTTGAACATTAAACACTTACACGCAGACAGGAGAGGACATACACAGAGCTGACCATCAACTATTTAATACTTCTTCCTCCACCTCCTCTTCTGCGTAGTTCCTTCGAGCATTCCATGATTGCGAGATAGAATGCACTTTTTAGAATTTTTTTTAAAGAACAGAGCATAATAAGGAGTACATATATAAAAATAAATCACAGACGAAAGAAAAATACAAAAAATATACTACATAAACTAAAACTAAAAATTAAAAAAAAAAATCTGCAAATGCCCAAGCAAATTCCATACATTTCCACTTTCGAGTCACTGACATCAGTATCCCGTGGATGTTTTTTGAGCAAAGTTACTGGAGCAAGCTCAGTTTCACAGCTCCGCCTGCGACGTGGGCTCAGTGGCGGTCACGAGAACTAGCAGCGCTGCAGTCGAGTCTTGCTTCCGGATCGTCTAGCCCGCGAAGCTTCAATAGCAATACTCGAGCTTGAGCGAGTTGGCAATTCATACTAATACTTCACAGCGCAAGGAAACAGACGCACACAAAAATAAATTTCAAACACTCAAAGAACACTCACAATGCGCTGACTCTGATCTCTGTGGTGCGTTACACTTCCACTTCATCTTTTTTTTTTTTCTCTCTTTTTTTGCTAATATACACATGTAAGTGAAAAATAAAAGGAAGAAAAGAAAAAGAAAAGGAAGCTCTCAACGCGGTGGTAGTAGACGACGCGCGGGACCAGGAAGCAAGATCCGACTGCAGCGCCGCTAGTTTTCGTGACCGCCACCTGGGCCACTCGCCTTTGCAGGCGAGAATAGGGAGCTGCGAAACTGAGCTTGATTTAGTAACGTTGCTCACGAGTCAGTGGCCCTAGTGGCCCAAAGCCGCAACACACCGTAAAAATTTATTTTCTTTTCTGTGCAGCGTGATGGACGGACTGCTGACAGAGTGGAAAGGAATGTGTTGCAAAGCACTCGTACATCACTCGCCGTACTTCAGTTCTACTCACCTGCCACCCCCCCCCCCCCCCCCCCCCCGCTCCAAAAAAAAATAATAGAGGGATAGTCTACTCTCACCAGAAACGCGAGCAGACGACGCATTTCGAATTCCCGCTACTTCTAGCTCTGTCAGCGCAAGTGAAGAGATTAAAAATATCAGGAGAGGACTCTCCTCCACAAGATAATTGCTTGCGGAAGCTACGGGGCTGACGTCATGCTCTCTTTTAATCGTGTTTTCTCTTTTATAAAATATTGTGTTAAAAATTACTTATACTTTCAGTTGAAACATGACCCACTCTAAATTGGCCACTCCATGTCCGTTGTGACATGTCTTTCAACACAGTCAATTGCTCAGACTTCCCTATCTGCAACGATTTCCAAAAATATTACCGTCTTCCATTCCTACTTTTTTTCTATAAAATTAATTTTCTATGTTCCCACTACTGCTACAATTCAACACCGCTGAAAGCGTTTGCCATGCTGAGACTGCGAACACGTGCTCTAAATTGCCTGACCCTTTTTGATTGAGAAACCATGCTTTTGTTTTAAAACAAACAAACGAAAAAAAAAAGCTTTCTTGTAAGTCTTGTTATTTGGAGAGTGATAAAAAGCGTTCATTCTTTTTAATACAGTGATGAATTACAGGCGTAACAGAATACCGATGAACGAGAAATGTTTCCATAACGCTCCTTGTAACCTCAAATTTCAGTGGGCTCGCTCAGAGCGAAGTGGCGAAGCGAAAACGAATCTCCCTATTGTGTTATCTCGAGGTCGGCTTATTCTAGCTATATTTAGCGGATCACAAGCTCCACCCATCTGCCGAACTTTCTCAGCATATGGCTCGGATACATGGAGCTCTGTGCCGCCAGTTAGCGAAAACGGGCAAAAATGGGTCCCAGTTTCCCAAGACCACTTTAGAAAAAATAACGTTTGAAGAAGATAACGGTTAGTTACCTTGGTTCGGACCTCTAGCGCTGCCTTTTGGGGGAGAATGAGCGTTCAACAAAACGTAAAAAAGAAGATTGAGAGGGAGGGGGGGGGGGGGTGCGATTTGCTGTGTGTAAATATATATATATATATATATATATATATATATATATATATATATATATTAACATACTCCTTCATTCACAAAATTCGTTTCGTGATACTAAACAAGCCTGCGGATAGTCCGTACCGCGTAAAATTTCAACGCGTATAGTTTGCGGTCGGCCTGCACCCCAGAAACGACGTTCGATGGGCGGAAACAAGACGGCGGACAAGAGTTTCGGGTCTCGACTTTCGAGTCCGTAGCGCTTGCAACCATGCTGGCTGCAACACACGCTCCCTGCTAGTCCCGGAGCGGTTTTCCCCGTGGCATGGGGGGCCGGGGACAACAGGAAGTTGTCGTCCCCAATCTGGTTGACCTTGGGAAAGCGGGTTTCGCGCTCGGTGCAAATAAAAGGGGAAAAAAAAAACTTTCGGAGTTTTTTTTTTTTTATATATAGTTTTTTTAGTAGTGCTGTGGTGCCTGCGTGGCGTGGATGCCCCTTGCTCAATGTTAAAAACTAAAAAGGAAAACTGGGAACAAACAAAAACAAACCAAAACAAACATTAGAGCCGCAGGCGCCGGCCCGCTCGGCTGGCTCGGCTCGTAGCGAGGAGGCCCCTCGATGAGGGGATGCGAGACCGTGATTGTGAGCGTCAGGGTGGCCGTGATGTGAGTGGCTGGCCGTGAGTGTGAGCTCCTCATGAGTGTGAGTAGCCGTGATGGGGTCGTGAGTGGGGCCTCCTCTTCATGAGTGTGAGTAGCCGTGAAGGGGGCGACTCCAAGGGGCCGTGATGTGAGTGGCTGGCCGTGAGTGTGACCTCCTCATGACTGTGGGTAGCCGTGATGGGGTCATGAGTGGGACCTCCTCTTCATGAGTGTGAGTAGTCGTGATGGAGGCGACTCTGAGGGGCCGTGATGTGAGTGGCTGGCCGTGAGTGTGAGCTCCTCATGAGTGTGAGTAGCCGTGATGGGGGGTCGTGAGTGGGGCCTCCTCTTCATGAGTGTGAGTAGCCGTGAAGGGGGCGACTCTGAGGGGCCGTGATGTGAGTGACTGGCTGTGAGTGGGACCTCCTCGTGATTGTGAGTAACCATGATGGGGGCGAGTTTGAGGGGGCGTGATGTGATTGGCTATGAGTCTTTGGCACGGTTGAACTCTGTGATGTGAAGGGCTGTGACTTTTGAATGGCGGTGTACTTTGTGATGTGATTGCGAATGACTTTGATGGGCTGCCAATTTCGGTGATGTGATGGTGAGTCAGTGGGTCCTAAAATGCCGACCTATGGTGGAGCGACCTACAGCAGGACAGCCATTTGACGTATCCACCTTTACTTCATGATGTAGAAAACCCGAGACTGTAGTAAAAGCAGGGAAACTTGGTCGAAGAAGAAGGACAGGGGAAAAGAATGTCTTCCCCTGCCCTTCTTCTTCGACCAAGTTTCCCTGCTTTTACCACACTCTCGGGTTTTCTACATTATGATCAACATCCACCAGCTCGCCTGTGCACTCACTGTTTTTTCACCTTTACTTGCTGGGACAGTGAGACACTTGTACAATATTATCAGGTGTTAAGCACACTGGTCGAAGATGCATTCTATGCTTGCGGTCCCTTGGAAACAGAGAGACAGCAAGCCTGGAATAGAGACCGAAGGCTCACTTGAAGGGATGTCCCTCGGAGGACTTCTGCACGGCCTGGAGCACGTTGCGGTAGACCCGGAAGGCGATGGCCACCGTCAGGGCCCCCAGGGCCAGGTAGGCCACCACGCTGATCAGGGAGAAGCAGGTCAGCGACAGCAGCACCGCCAGCACCGCCCCAAACACCAGGCCGCTCTTCTTCACCTGGCGCCAGTAGATCAGCTCCTCCACTGCGAGAATGGACCGGCACGCTCAGGGCACGCTTGTGGCAGCGAGGCACGTTAAAGGCTGGTTCGTGTGCGTAGTGGGGCACAGAGTCGGAGCCAATTTTTTAATGCACTTCACCTTCTCCGTGCTGATGTTTCCTTGTCCAACCTTGCAATACCGTCAAGTAGTTCGCCGCAACAAGAGCAACGTCCAGAGATCGCGCGCTGGTGATTGAAGTGCTCTTGGGACCAAGAGCGCCATCTGTCTGCTGTTGCGGTGAGATCACTTAGTTCTAGAAAGGCGAGATCTACGGTATTCGGGCAAGCTCGGCGTTTTGACAGCGATATTTGCGCGCACCATCAAACATGTTGGCCTCAAACAAGAGTAGGCAACAAAAAATATGAGCACTGCAATGCACCCTCGCACAAGTCTCGTGTACGATACATAAAAGGGCGCCACTGAAATTCGCTATCGGTATATCGGCACTCTTAGAGCGCAAGTGCTACATCAATGCTTAAGCCAGCACCGTTTCCAGCAACGAATTAGCAGTGGCTTAGTGCAGGGCTGTATGTGTGAAGTGGCCTTAAAGGGACAATGAAAAGCTTTTCCTAGAGTTTTCAAAACCCAGTTGGCATGATTAAGATGCAATTAATGCAAAGGTGCAAGCGAGCTAGACAAGATTGGCACAATTATTATTGCACTCTTGACCAGCTTGCTTGCACCTTTGCATTAAGTGCATCCTAATCATAACCTTAAAAATGAAGGCCATTCACCCTTGTTGGTGTATGGCAGCTGATAGAACCTGTTTGCTCCACCAGCATCCAACCCCTGGTTACCTCAGTTGGTAGAGTGCTCCACTGGAAATGGAGAGGTCCCGGATTCGATGCCCGGACCAGGCGGATTCTTTCAGTCGCGCCCCAGTCACCTATAGCTGTGTTTGGAGATTTGTCTTTGTTCCCCTTCTGCAGGGATTATTATTGCCAGTTGGCATGCAGCTTCTAACTTTCATAATGGCTTGGCACTCTTAGTAGTACTTTCTATAGACTTTTTGACTCGGGAGAATAGTGTAAAACCCTTAGTGTTCGCAGGCCCTTAATTTTCACAAATTGAAAATTTTGCGAAATTTAAGGGCACGCCGAAGTTTATATTTTTTAAGATTTTCAATTCAGGCGTCTAAAGTCCCGAAATTTGGTGGCCATGATTATGTCCTCCATGACTGATTCACGAAAAGTAGGGGCCGCGAAAATAAAGGGTTTTACAGTAGTGAAAACCTCCAGTCTATTATTGAATTTTTTTGCGAATGTAACTAAAGATGCAAAACTTCCGTTATTAATGAGTACAAACTTTTAATGTATGTGGTCACCATATGACGATTGTTTCTCCTCTCAAAATTTGACAAGCCAATTCAGACAGCAAGTCATCTGCTTCTTGCGCAGGAGTTACGGTGACGTCAACGATGCCGAGCTCGGATTGGCTCTAATTGAAAGGATAGTGGGTAGACCTCAATGCTAGATGCCTTGAGGCATACCCACTATTTTGTCCAATCAGCCAATAAGAACTTGGCATTCCGACGTGATCATAACCTCTGAGCAAGCAGCAGACAAACTTGCGCTCAGCATAGAAACTGACCAGTCAAACAGAACAGCCTCTGCTGCACGTCTTCCAATGCAAAATTTGAATTTAAAACATTGCTCTTCAGTTTCAGCATATTTTTGTTCAAAACTTTAAAGGGCGGTGCAACAATATTCCATTGGAATGTTTTGCACTTTACACGAGCTTACTGGCACTAGTGGGACTCGAGGATACTCGCACGCAATGTCACCGTCCAAGAAACTCCTTTGCTGCGGTGTAATTTCAAGGACAAAAGTAATCATTTTCATTCAATCTGTCCTTTGCAAATTTTGATGACGTAACGTGGGGATCGCAGTACACCCCAATTACGATATTTGAATGCGGTTCATAGATTGGACCCGAGCATTGCGTGGGCACTCGATTTGGGCTCGTGATAATTACTAGCTCGAGAAGCATTCGGGTAGTGGCACGTATCCAACTGCTGCAACGACGACAATAGCCGAGCCATAACAATGTCTGGAACTCAGCGCGTGTCCTGTGCTTTGCCAACCCCAGCGCGTGGCTATGATCAACATTGGCGGCATATAATCGGCTCCAGATCACGTGGCCGCTTGTTCTGGCTGCGAGTTGAGGGGGTGAATTCTTTATTTTTTTTTCTGGGACTTCTGTTGCGTGGGGTGAAAAACAAATGCGTGTTTCATAGGTCATTAACGTCAGAAATCCATTCTAAGCGGTATTTGTGCAAAGTACAAAAATTGTTACATCGCCCCTTTAAGAAACGCCAAAGCAGGGAGTACGGCATCATATCCCACACACGCGGCTGCCTCCATAAGCTCTGTCACAAGTTGTCCCAAGCCTGCCTACCCTCATTAGATAGAGGCTGTTCTCGCAACGAGCAGTGTTGCAGAGGTCGACCCTCGGAGCCCAGGTGAGGTTGTCCCAGGGTCGCTCCACTTGCAAGAGGAAACCAGCAAGGCGACCCAGATACAACGCGGGTGGTAAAAGGAAACACCCCCCTTTCCCACCAAACCAACTGTGCACATGCGCCCCCCCCCCCCCCTCTCCCCCGAAAAAAAAACAAAAAAACTCTCACACCATTTAATACAATAAACAAAGCAGATCCAGTCAGTCTAAGTAGGCTATCCAAACATTCCGAAGCAAAGCTGTTAACCACTTCATCTGACAAACGCACTTGAACCAGCTGCGTCGTTTGCCAAAATCAAAGAAAAGGCGTTGCAGCTCCCACTTGCATAGCCAAATATAACGGTAACCCGGCGATAAAAACCGAAGAAAAAAAAAAAAAGTTAGCGTTTAAAAAATTTGCTTGGTCGGCTAGACTGAGGGCACAGCGAGCCAACGCACCGAGCCGACTGACCACATCACCTCCAACGTGGCACACGTGCAGCGTCTGCTAGGTGCCTTTCACGCATTCTTCACAGAGTTGCCGCCTTCGAGAAACGCGACCGGGAAATAAGCCGCAAATAACGCAATGGGCAGAACGGGGAAAAAGTACGGGTCAAACTGCACGCGGAGGGGCTGCGAACGGCTGACCCGCGACCATAAGGGAGGCGCTCAAAACGCTTCCATCGATTCCGAGCAGCTCCACAGCGGCCAGCGCCTCGCACGAAAAAGAAAAAAAGAACCACTACACATGCGGACGGATATACAAATCGATATTTTCGTCGAAAGTGCATCCGAACCTTCGGACAGCTTTCGTCTCCGAAAGGGCCAGACGTCAAAACAATCTTCGTGGGGGATACTGCGCTCGCTCGAGTTGCAAACTCGAACACTTTCGCTAGAAGAGGGGAGCAGTGTTGATCTTACGCAGTGACTCGTCCATCTTTTCCACGGCGGCGGGCGTCTCGGAAGACGCGGCTACATCGCGTTTCCGTCCCATGTTGCTGTTTTCTCGGGCGGCCTCCCTAGGCGACGACGTTCTCTTCTGCACACGCGAGGAGCGACTGACGGACGAACGGCAGCCAACCTTGAACGCTCCCTTTTAGGCCTAACCGCCCGCTAAAAGCGACGGAGAAAAACAAGACTGCCTCGGCAGGCGGGCAGCCTCCTCCTCTCACCTTGTGGCACGGTGAAAAGACGTTTGAAGATGCAGCCGCACGCCGCCGGAGGCTGCTGGTCCGCTTTTCCAGCGCCGCTGCTGCTATCCGCCTCCATTCCGCGCAGTTGGCCCGAATAATCGCCCAAAATCGCTCACATCGGCCGAAGCCCCACGAACGCTCGCTACCACCGCACGCACACGGCCGCTTTCGACTACGACGACCGCCGCCGCTGGAGAGGGCAGAACCGGCGGACGCGCATGCGTGACGAGGGGGAATCCCTGCCGCTTTTTTTCCGCTTGGAAACTGGGGGGGCAATGCGGTGGCCAAGACTCCGACGGCCTTTAGTCAGGCGTCCCCGAGCACAAACATCAGCATGAGCAGTCTTGCCCGAAAGAAGCGGAGGGGCAGCGCCTGACGCCAACAGCCAGGACAAAGCACCCGAACGCACGAGCACGGCGACAAACGGACGGTTGCTACGGTAGCAGACGACGGGTCGCTCGTACAATATTCTCGGGGGTGGAGACTGATGGTGCGGTATCTACTCCCGACTGCAAAAATAGACCTCTTATCTATTTCTAGTCGCAGATAAAGGAGAAACGGTCAAACTTTAACGATTCTGTCTGTGAAGGGGAAAGATTCGCGGAACGAAATTATTCCGCAACGCCCCTTTGCCACGAGCTGACCGCATCCCATTTGCAGCGTGAAATGTCCACGGCGAATCGGCGTACAGGCACGGATTAACCGTATCGCTCAAAGGGCACGGCGAGCGTAGTCGGGGTACGCGAGTTAGAACGCGTTAAACAACACAATAAGTTGAAGTTGTTGAAACGCGACAGCATTTTGACCTGTCTTGTACTGCGTAATATCACATTCAACACGAATTCACAATTTTCTAATAGAACTGCCTACTTCCCGCGGACGGACCATAGAGTTATTATAATGTACGCTAGAGGTTCAACTGGCGCTAGTGTCTATGCGACTTCCGTGACGCAAATTGAAGCAGACAGCAACCAGTCTACTTTTGCGGTGCTCCTGTGCATTGCTATGGGAAAACGCGCGTGCATTTTGCCTCTTCGCCAGAAAATAACATGGAACACTTTGGTTATTTCGGTCGTACCGTATAGTATGTGTCTTAATTAACATTGTAAAAGTGTAATTGCTTTAGTTAGCGCATTTTTCTTCATCAGTGAGCGATGTTTAACTTCGCTGCATTTCAGTCCCAAACGTGTGTTCCGCAGCAAGTGTATAAAAACAAGCGACGATTCAAAGCAAAATTACGATCGAAACGAATATAATGTGTGTTCAAGGCTCGCCAGCATTCCAGTGACGCTTGTATATTGGTAATATGCCAGTCCTGTCACCATATGAAAATGATCCCGTCGTGCATGAGCGGATAAAAACCTTCAACGTAGAGAATAAAGTCAATGGGATATGAAAGGTGTCTCTTCGTATTGTTTTCTTTGCCGGACAGCTTTTATCACGGACTTGTTCTCAAAGATGTTTAGCGCGCGGGTGATATTTTGAACGTAGAACACGCAGCTCCGCTCTGGACACAAAGATTAAAGCGGTACTCACTTATTTAAAATCGGAATAGATTACGTGGCCTTCAATTTATTTGGATCGTACATGCACTGCGCGTTACTGATCCGGTGTTGCTGCGTAGTTCTCGCCGCCGCTCTTCATTTTCCAGATGTCGTCCGTTCGTTTGGCATGTATATCCCCCATGCTGGAAATCACCGACGCCGCGTTCGCACTAACAGTGTCCGACAGTGCACATAAATACACGTACGAAGCCATTTTAACACCGTTTTTAGTGCGATGAATTCGAGAGAAAAACGCCGTAACTGACCAATTCTTTCGTCGGCCTGACTGAGAAATGTTCCAAACTACCTGGTACGTACGAATTATTTGGGATATTTGCTCTTATGATCGAGCGCAGGGAGAAAATGCACTCACTTTTTCCCATAGAAATGCATTACCGGAAGTCAATTTTCGACTGGTTGCTGTCTGCTTCAATTTGCGGATTTGCGTCAGCACACTAGCGCCACTTGAACCTCTAGCGTACATTATAATAACTCTATGGGACGGACCACCCGCGATCAAACAACTTTAGCATGTAGACTGAAACCTGAGACTGGGTTGAAAAACGGAAACTCGTGAAGGAAGAAAAAGGGACAGACAACGTTGTTGAGACGTTGTCTGTCCCCTTTTGTTCCTCCTTCAGGACTTGCGGTATTTCAAACCACAATCACAGGTTTCAATCATGTGTAAGTTTCACCAGCTCGCCTGTACTTTAGCCGCTGTTTCATTAGACAACTTTTGTCGTAGCTTAACAAGACATAACAGGACCCTTGGTAACTGTATTATTTGCCGTTCCAAAGCTAATATATCGTGTCACCTTTGTTTCATCTATTACCCCCCCCCCCCCAACGCATAATTGAACCAGGCATATAATGTAAGAGTACGTGCCGCCTGCTACACCGATCGACGGACGCGAAAGTGCGAATTCGTACAAAAAAAAAAGATAAAAAAAAGCCAGAACAGGGTTAAAATAGACGAAGGACATAGAGCACACATGCGGCGCTGGAACTGTGTCCTTGGTCTATGTTATTGCTGTTGTGCCTTTTATCCTATTAACGTGCATTTGAAGCTTACCGGCTGGATGCAGGCATGCTGGATTCCACCAGCCTCCTGTAAAGAAGCAAGTTAGTGATGCAGCGGATTAGTACAGCCACACATCAACCACGCAAGCTTTATTAGTACTGCAATCAAGCTGACCGCGAGGCAGGCTCTCACACTTGTTTTGGGGCCAGTTACGCCAATAAAACAGTAAAAAGAAAATACAATAAAAGACAAGCCCACACACTGGAAGTGGGCCCCTGACCTAGCTCCAGAAGGAAAAGCTTATACGACCAACCCACCGCGGCCCCTTACGACAAGGTCAATGTCAACTGCTCGCCCTAGTAGCTTCGAGGAAATAAAAACAACAAAGTAAAGGTACAAAAAAAAAAAATGTGGGACTGCTATAGCCACGCAGAGGGCATGGTATCCTTGCGTAGGACCGCCATCGCAGCCCGCTTGATGTTGCATTGCCTTGGACCACGAACAGAAGCAGACGACGTGAGCGTGGTCAGTTGGAATGCGTCCCCAAGTAATGTGGCTGTGTAACTGCTGGGATTCGAACCTAGTACCAGCGGCCCTCAACGAAGCTCCTCAAAGGAAGGCTGTTGCGCTTGCCGTATCGCTACGAGCGCACAGCAGCATGCAGCATGCAAAGGGAAGCGCTCTATCGGATCAGCCATTAATACATCTCTGGCTGCACATACGAGACATCTGTGCCGCTTGGGCAACCGACCAACTAATCATGCGTGAGCGTGAGCAATTCATGCGGTTTGAGACGACGCAATGTCCGCATTACGGGCACGCGTCCGTGCACAACAAAGATTTGGCGTAACACACAAAAAGGTTATTCAACGCCCTTGCCACTCACAGAACCGTTCATTCACCTCCGTCCGAGGGAAGACGAAGGGCAAAAACGTCGTTTTTCTTTACGTCGACTGTGGTCTATTTGTTTCTTATTTTGTGTCTCGCGTTTACGTCGACTTTCGTTCTTCGTTCTCCACGCGAGGAAGACGGGCGGGCGGGTCGCTGCCGGAACGAAGAAAGGCAACAAAAGCGACCTTGCTGACTTCCAAGCAAATTCTACAGCAGCGCAGAGGTAGTAAGATTTATCGCAAACGAGAAATGGGCATTGCGGCAGTAACGACCTCGCGTGGGGAGCCGACTATGAACGCAAGTCAAAGAAAGCGACGTCGAAGCGTTGCGCGTTGCCAGCCTCAAAATCCGTTTGCGCAACACAGCGTCCCGACGGTCGCCAAAGCCGGCCAAACAATCGGTGGGTGTGACCACGACCGTCTGACTCACCTGTGAAGCAGCAGCCCACTTTTTCGCCCGTGGTGGACGACGCTTTCTCGGCCTCCATCTCGACTTTAGGCCTAGCCCGGGGCTCAACGGCGGGTTCCCTGCTTTGGTCCGGTCTGGGCGGCGGCTTCTTTTTGGCAGCTTCTAAATCGGGTGCGGCTTCTTCGGCTGGCGGCGGCGCTGGAGCGACCTTGTCCACCGACGGAGCGCTGGGCTGCGGCGCGCTGTCACCACCGAGGAAGTCGGCCAGGGAGGAAGTGCCGTCCAAGTCGCGTGCCACCGCCGGCTTCGACGATGCGCTGCTGGGTCCCACTGGCGGAGGACTCGCGCTGCCGCTGCTATCGGGGGTCGGGGTACGGTCCCTGGACCGCTCCGGCGGGGCCGGCGCGGTCGGCCGTTGGAGCCCCGATAAGAGATCGGACGCTTGGTCGTAATCCTCGTCGTCCAGCAAGGAGCGTGGGCTCGCGTGCTCGGCGGTCGCCTTGGCGTCACCGGCACCGACTCGCGACGCCCTGACCACGTCCTGCTGGTCGCCCAGGGCTAGGTTGTCGTCGCTGAGGAAGTCCATCTCGGCCCGTGCGGGAGAAGCTCTGCCGAGTTCCGCAGTCGCCGCCTCAATGACGGCTCACTCCTCTCCTAGCGCCGCACTCGGCCACTCGGCCGTGACTCACGCCGGCGCCGCTTTTGTTTTTTGCCGCCTTCGGTGAGGGTCACGTGGGAACTGGCGAAGCGAGGCTCGGGTTTTCTCGGGGTTCTAGGTTCTAGTTCCAAGGTTCGTCTAGGAGGCCCTGCCCGTACGCCGACGATTTCGGTAGAAGACGATCGGCCTCGGATAAGGGGGGAGGGGAGGGGAGGGAGGGGGCGTTGGGGGGGGGGGGGCTGGCTTACGCGCGCGCGCGCGGAGGAGAACCGGGAGAACTATGGCCGCTATGGCTATGCGCTACCCGCCGTGAGCTCACGCTGAGGGCGTGTCCCCCGCCTATTTTCTCCGATCCCGAATATCCCTACTTTTCTTATTTTCTTTACGCGGCAGGGGAAAAAAAAAGAAAAAGGCAATCAAATCAACCATGTTGAATTGACCTTTTTCGGAGAATTTTGTGCGCATGCCCGAACTAGAGGTGAGAGTGGGAAAGGGAAAGGCGCCATCTTTGCGGGCTCTCGTCGCACGCTGCCTGGCTTCGCTCGCATTGCTAGGCGCGTCTGTCCGGCACTGTTGCGATGCCTCTGCGCGGCTGTTGGATGTACAAACATAAAAAAAAAACACGCCGAACGTGAGCTTCTTTAGATTCCCGAAAGCTACCGCGCACCTCAAGAAGAAAGAAAAATGGATTCAAGCGCTGCGACGCCAGAACTCTGACGGGACGCCTTGGCAGCTATCTGCGAACTCGCGTGTTTGCGGTGTCCACTTCATTGGAGGTTAGTTCAATCATATTTGTTTGAGCTCAGGAGATTCCCGTTATACTCCGTGCAAGCTAGTCATTCCCGACACCTGTCTCCACACCGAGTTTGCTTGCACGGTACAGCAGGGCAGCAAAGAGGCGGGACGTCAAGCCGTTGTCACGAAAAACAGACCTTTACACTGTCGCATAGTGTAAGAGCAGGCCAGCTATGTGCTGGCATGTTCAGCTCAACCTGCAAAATTTATATTTACGCTTGAAACTCATTAAAATATTGAATAAAAAAATGCCCTGCTACAGAATTTTATATCAACACGTCATCTAGTTCGATAAGTAGATCGATGACAGCTTGGCCCTTTTTAGTTGCATGCTGAAGTACCACGAAAAAGACGAAAACGAAAAATATCGTTTTTTTTTTTTTGTTTTTTTGTTTAGATAACTTATCGCGTCACGCATAAAATATGATCAAAGGACTGGCACACACGGATCTCGATACAAATGCGCCGAAAGGATAGCGACTATGGGGCTCACGCCTTACAAATATTGACACATTTTGTAATCCTTAAGACACATTATTACCTCGCCACGAGTTTTACCGGAGAAATAAAATAACCCTGGTAACGGCAGTCGCAAGACGCTTGAACGATATCGGCGCTCTTGAAAAGCGATATCAGTTGCCTGTAATGTCCCGGTTTCATAGACGGTGCGGTGCACACGTGCTCCTTACGAGGTGAACCGTGTGGTCGGGATCAAAGTTGTTCACCATGACCTTCTTGACGTAAGCTTCTTCTTTGAAGGCCCATCCTTTCCGGAGTTGTCTGCAGTCCTTCGCGAAGTACCAACCGACGCACGCTGTGTTGACGACCGGTACCGATGCAGCATCGGCACTCCATCCGTCTTGAAAAGCGTACAGACGGATAAAGTCGGCAGTGTCGAAGACGGTTGCTCTACTCGATCCTCTGGGATCGTCATCAGCCATTTGTAAAGAACGACAGCCCGAAAACAGCGAGAAAAACTTTCTACAACAAACGCCCCAAAACGATCGCGTCGAGGAAGCGGACGGGTTGACGGGAGGACGGACTGAGCCCGCAAACGTTTTGAATTATCTCCGCGAGGGTGCGCCACGGTCGCTTCTACGAACTCTGAAAAAGGTCAATTAACCTGAGACGGGTAGAGAAGAAACATCAAAACGTAGAAGGGACAGAAAATAGACAGAATCCTGTCTATTTCTGTCCCTTATAGGTTTTGATGTTTCTTCTCGACCCCAGTCTCAGGTTAATCAACATGATTAATATTCACCAGCGCGCCTGCACGATTTTTTCTATAATCAAGTATTGCGCAGAAAGACAAACGACAAACATTATTGGCCACTTTAGTTTTTGCCAAGTTTCCCATTTTCTTCAAACAAACTAGTTCTCTAAAAAAGTATGCTTTGCGTCTGACAGCAAATATTCGACTTTTTTTTTTAAGTGCAGTTTTTTTTTGGTGCAAGGGGCAGATTTTTGTTTTTGGGAGAGAGAGGGGGGGGGGGGGGGGGCAACCGCCCCCCCTATGCTTCCCCCCTTCCCCCCCAAATGGTCAATCTATAAATCTGCCCCTGCCCCGTGGTTTCATATTTTTTGGCATCTTACTATCATCTGCTCTGTGTGTTGAGAAACGGATGCACATACACACACACGCACACGAGGGCTATATTATACTTCCGAAATACAATGTGCCTTTCTTTTTGTATCACGACACAAATTTAGACCAATTTATATTTCTATATATATATATTTAAAGGGGGGTGCAACGAATTTAAGATTAAAAGAATTTCCATCTCGTAATTTTTACGTTGTTTATCGTGTCCCGGAGGATAGAGAAAACATCTCCTTAATTAAAAAGTGTCACGATTCCGCTGCATAATCGCAAAGCAAAAGTCAAGCTTTTCCCCCTGCCTGCAGCCACGAGTGGCAGCCGAAGGAACTACGGCGAGAAGCTTACGTGACCTCGCTCGGCTCTAAGCTGCAGCCTAACGCCCACTAATGTCAGCAGAGAGAAGAAGCGTCCTCCGAGAGAGCCCACGGGAAGCTACACGGCACCCCGAATTACATCACTAGAAGGAGGACCAGGCGTGACCCTGAAGAAGACTGGGGGTTGAGAGGTGCCAGAAATGCCAGTATTTATCTTTTTTTTTTTAATGCAACAACTAGGACATGAAGGCGAAATCGGTTTCGTGTTCTTTACTCTAGAAGTGTCCTGCATCTGGAAGCTCCTCCCACTTTAGAAGAGGAATGCTGGCCTCCTCTCCAGCATTTGCTCTGCTCAAGTGAAGAGCTGGAAGGAGCTTCCACTTCACTCGTCATCAGTTCCCCTTTCCATGGCTGCAGCAAGGGGGGCATATTTGACTAAATCCTTCCCCAAAATGTGGCCCCCCCCAAAAAAGAAAGAAAACAAATTACGCTTTTCTTACCTGGAAACCGACTTCCAAAAGAGTCTCACACTTGCATTTTACTCCAACCTTGAACACTCTGCAGCTGATGTCTGCATGAGCAGGACAACAGGCATAAAAAGAGTCTGTCGAATTTAGGAAGCGGTTCCTTGCATTGGTCCGATTCGCGAGTAACAAGGGAAAGAGAACAGGGGACCGTCCAAGAGTTACGGACAGGAAACCAATCAATGTTGCTTGACGGGGATGCTGCAAATTGTTTTGGGGAAAGTGGGGTGACGACTTATCAACAAATCAACAGTTTAACGCATGTGGGCCTCATGACTTGGCCGATATATCGGCCAAGTATGGAAGGTACAAACAAGTGCAGTGACCTGGAAACAATATGGTATTATGTAATCGGAATCCCATACAGAAAAGGAACTCACTGGCGAGTGTCTATGAGAATTTTTAAAGTTGATACAAAATGCAATATCCCCTATTATCAATAGCGGATCAGCAAAACAAAATTCAAACTGGTTGTATATGAATATATAAACAGACATGGGGACGAAGCTGACTTGTCTAATCGCTGTTTAAAGGGAATTAGACTCTGCCGACAGTGGAGAAGTCCTGCCGGGTTCGGTATGAATCCATTTAATTTCCAAATCAATGCCACATGGAAGAATGTGAATAGAAAAAGAGTTGGTAGAACTGAGCCTTATTTCATGCAAACACCTAATCAATATAACTAAAGTGCTATACATGATTGCCCAAGTCAAAGTCTTAATTACAAAATAGAATAATCCCATCATACGTGTAATGGGCATTCATGCTCTCTACAAGTATATTTCTGTTAATGTAATGTAATGCAGCAGTCAATATAATTCGATCCCATATATGTACTCCCAACTGTTTCTTTTCATTTGTTTTCTACCTGTATTTTATGTAATACTTTTCACTAATGTATTCCAGCATCAGTATTTGGGCCGTCATTTTAATGCATTCCAGTACTTGCGTCTTCAAATGTTCTTTCCAGTTCTTACGCCCATTCCCACTGTACACCTTGTGTTGAACACCTTTATTGTTTATTCCTTTTTCCTATATTTCCCACCTAAAGATCTGTACACCTTGTGTACTTTAATTGGTCAGAAACTTCCAAGTTTGCCAAACATGATCAGTCACCCAAGTGACTTTCTGTAGCCTGTTGCAGGTCAAGAAGGTAGGGCGAGGGTAAGACGGGCCAGGGAGGAGGAAGCAGGCAGAACGCTGGAGAAGGGAAAACCTCCTCCTCTCTTTAACGTTCCGTCTGCTTCCTCCTCCCCGGCCTGGCTTTCCCTCACCCTGCGCTCCTGAATTGCAACGGACTATAGTAAAATGTGCTGCCTGGAACGTGTCTCCAGCTGGTAAGCATACCGTGCCCTAAAAGGTGATCCCTCGGTTTCCACCCGACGACATCACAGGAGTGCATTGTGCTGTTGCCGTTCGTGACCCTAGCGGTGTCCCAACAGCGGTGGTGGTCTATGGGGCAGACGCCTATCCTGCTGCAGGCCGCCCTCCCGCTCGACAGTCCACAGAGGCTTGGGCAGCCGGGAGCTCAGACGCCGCGACAAACAGCAACACTCGCATTCGCTCCTGCCTTGTCAGAACTCCTACGCCCATTGTCAGGGTGCCGACTTCCGACAGCATGGCACAGAGAGCCTTTTTTTATGGCAAGGCACTCCGGCTCTTCTGACGTCATTTGTTGCACTTGAGACCACTTTCGATTCATGGGCGGAATAGGAAGCTAAACACACCAGTTGCAGACGCATTCCAGCACCCCCACTAGTGCATATGTTGTTTACATGGGTTTGATGTAGCCTTGTGCTGACTGATGATTGGTTTTGTTGCCTGTATATTTTATTGCTCAAATGCCCATGCATTGACTTGTTTGGCTTTGTTTTTCTATAACTTGAATTGTATCCCTCTCTTACAGTGGTCTGTAAAATACTCTAAATACAAAAAAAAAAAAAAAAAGTCACCTGGCTGTTTTGCATTTGGCTCAAATGATAATGTGATTTGAGAGTGGCAAAACAGAGTAAAGACGTGAGTTCATCACTGCTCTACTGTGCAATGCACACTCCCTCCGGTGGCCCATAAGCGTTTTCTCAGGACTGCCCATGCACACATTTCTAGCAAGGGGTGCTCAGCACTAGCACAGTTCACCGAGTGAAATGACAAAAGGTCTCCGAACAATAAGCACAGGAACATAGTTTCACGATGACGATCCAGGGGAATAATACTTCATATTTTTTTACTAATGCATGTTGCAAACATCAACAGCACAATCGTCTCTCAGAAATCCAATTGCTTTGCGGAATGAGCTATCACAAATCATACAGCATGGAACAACTTGTTTTGCAGTTTGAATGCATTCTTCACCTATTTGTTTAGGCTCTTGTGTAAATGAAGTTTTCCCGCGCAATTAAAAAAAATATTTAACTGATAGAGATGCTAGATAAATCTATATGTCTTCCTGTAAGCACCCTACAAGGTCTTCTGGTCAGTGAAAGGGAAAGTAGACACGCTTGCATCAATCCGACGTCAGTTTTTGCAGTCGGCTGCCTTGTACTTTTTGTTGCATTATTGCTCTAAGGCCAAGTTATTTGGGCCAGTGTCAACAGCAAGGAAACTGAAAATACATTGTTAGGTAAGTCCCCAAGCCTTTGGATATTCAGATCTGCAGAGATCTTGGCAAGACTTCTTACAGCCAGCTGTCTTGTAGCTTAATGTATGCAATCCCAGTTTTAGACAACAAGACATTGTGAAAGATGTCTTCTTGATGGCCTGTAGGTATTCCAGACATCTTTTAAGAGTTCTAGTAGTTATCCACAAGATACCCTTCAAGAGTGCAGTCTTCTACAAGACATCTCTCAAGGTTTCTAGTACTAGTCATCTACAAGACGTCTCTCAAGAGTTTTTGTAGTTGTCTACAAGACATACCTCAGGAGCTCTAGTAGTCATTTACAAGACATATCTCTCAAGAGTTTCAATAGACATCTTCAGCCCGAAATAAGGGTTCATCAGCTTAAGGGGGGACACTACCTGGAGAAAAAAAAAATTCTTCAAAAAACATTGATTTTGAAAAATTACATATTTACATCCATCTACATCCAGAGAGTATTCCCAGAAATTTTCACAAGTTTACACCGCATAGTTAATTTTTTATAAATTATTTTCTGTCCACCAAAGCTAAAGGAAAGGTAGGGGTTGGAGCACTTTGAACACATTTTTCTCCGTTCCACTTTTTTGTATAAATTCCATTTTAGTCAATCTATCGTTTGAGAATGGAAATACAGGCAAGGCTCGTTCTTCACTTTTCCTGACTGAAATTTAATAAGGAATGCGCCTATGGAGTTTGTTTGTCACTTTACGGATGTCTTTTATAAAAAGTGTTGACATTTTGTTGGAGACACAGAAGACAAAAAAGTTGACCAATTTCGCAGAAGAGAAAATTGATAGAAATCAATTACTTTTTACAAAAACCTTTCCATAGGCACACCTACTAGGCATTCTGCTACATATCTAGCGAATAAAAATCTTTAATATTGTGCTAGTTTCCTGACGATAGATTAACTAAACAGTGTAGGGGTCCTGCTGATAGAAGCTGCCCTAATTTCCTTCCCACTTAACCGACAGACCTAAAATTTTGTTATGCACCCTCTAGCATGACCACCAGCCTACCCTGTAAATTTCATTATTTTTAAGCCAAGGATTCAAAAGTTGACCCTCCCAGGGGGTGTCTCCCCTTAACTAAAAGGTGGCTAGAAGACAATTCAAGATTGAACATGGTTAAAATTGCGCACAAATAGAAAGGTACAGAGAAGAGGGAAGAGAGAAGAGACAAGCGCAATTTTCTCTTCCCTCTTCTCTGTACCTTTCTATTTGTGCGCAATTTTAACCATGTTCAATCATTACCAACTCGCCCAACTAACCACTTTACTACAATTCAAGATATCAAGGGTTACACAATGTCCTGCCAAGGTGTCTACAAAACACCTTGCACATTTTGCCAAGATGTCTTATAGATGTCACGGTGAACAGAGCAGCGCATAAAAAGACAAGGACAGAGAAAAGGAACATGCACAACACACAAGCGTCTTATAGATGTTTAAATAAACGTCTCAATGGTCTGCAGTGGGTTGAAAGCCCCCGGAACGCCACTACCCTGCAATTTCCAAAACATCGCTAAGCCAGAAAATTTAGTCTTTCAAGGAGTCAATAAGCCAGCCATCTATTGTACTGGGTGACTAATTAAATTGTAGTTCAAGATTGATCCTACAGCAGAAGTCAATTGTTTCATTCAATGCGGAGTAATTTTTCACAATGGTGCATCTTGATTGTTGACACATTTTCTCATTTTTAACACAGATGGTTACCGAAATGAGGAGTTCAAAATAAAAATTATTTTCCACTTAGCAGTGTACATTTTTCTACGAAAACGCTGCCGACAGTTGGGACTTGTTTTGATAACACAGTGGTAGATGAGGAATGCAAAGACAATTGGTATTTCATTTATGTTGTGGTTTTGTTAAAATACCTGAACGATGTGAAATGCAGATTTTCAATTCTGAGAGAATAAGACCTGACAGGCCTGTACTCAGGATTGTAGAAAAATAATGATTAATTAATTCTTTACTGTTAAAATAATTAGCATAAAGCATTGGTTTTCCATGGCACGCCATAGCTTTGCTACACCCGATTAGGAGCATTCTCAGTGCGGTAGGCTCATAATAATTCAAATTCGTATATTTCATACTTCTGCTTAATTTAAACAAATTTAAAAATTTTGGTTGTCCCGCTATGTTTTTAATGCATTCATAGGCCGCTTAATTTGAACAGCGTTTTCGTGTAATTCATACTTTTTCTTTTCAAGGCCCCGTTGAGTGCACTTCTTTCCGTGCACTGCAGAGAGGCAACACCCGCGGAGCATGCTTTTGCGGGTCTTGCTTCTCCGCAGTGCACGGATGTTCGGTGAGAAGCGCACTCAACAAGGCTCAAGCAGGGCTCACATGAGCTATGAAAACGGGTACCACACGGGAATTCACATAGCAACTTGCGCAGACGCTGTAATGTGGCGGCATGGCATAGATTCACAGCACGGTGTCCGCGCAAGTTGTTATGAAAATTGCCACGAGGAGATAAGGGTGACGAAGGACAAACACAAATCTCCAAACACAGCTAGGTGACTGGTGCGCAACCGAAAAGTCCGCCTGGTCCTGGTATCGAACCCGGGACTTCTCCATTCTTGTCCAGCTTGCTTGGAACTTCGCATTAATTGCATTATCATAACCACCAGGTGCCCATTCTCATTGCTCATGTGTCCCCTACATAATACTACACGTACATTAGACAACTTGGCCTGATGAACAAACTTAATTTTGTTTTGAGTTATCATGTGCTGTCTGAACAGTCCACAATAAACAACATTTTTGAGGAATAAATAAACTTATGTCATACATTTCACGCAAGTTTTATGTGTGGTGTACCTGCTTATGATCAGTAGGCCTATGCAGAGGAAATAATAAAATATCTGTTTTGTATGTGTAGCCATTCATATGGCAAGTCATAATTTTATCTTGTATTATATTTCGATGAATTTCTGATAATTCACACAAACTTCCTGGCTTCCTGGGGTATGAATTCATGAGAATCTACTGTACAACTACAACCTTCCCTGCCGACAATTCTTCATCAAGACAATATACAAAGGCAGACTTATTGCATATTGCAGACTGTCAAAGGATAACTATTGAATTATCTTTCCCAATGTTGTGGCTAAACCACTTATGTCATGTTTCTCAAAACACTGGTACTGCTAATTAGTTTAGGCAGTATACCCGCAGAACACCACAGATTGAAACAACCACCCATATGTGGTATATTAACATGAACTTCAAAACATAGTGCGACGCTTTGTGTGCTTATTTTGCGAGTGTAACAATCTACTTCATATTATCTCTCGATCATTACTCCCGTTTTGCAATTACGCAGCATACGACCAGTTTTGTTGTTCGCACATTAACTATACTCCGTTTCATACTTAGCATGCAACGCTGTCAAAGCTACTGGCGTGAGCACGTAGCTTCATCCATGGTTCTGTTTGTGCGAGACCGCGTGCAAATGATCAACCAGATCAAGCCCCATGCTTGCGCCAAAAGCTTTCACAGCGTTGCACACTAAGTATGAAACAGAGTATAATCACTGTGCATTCGGTTGTTCCCTATACACACTTCTTACATACGTTTCAAATGCAGAGATGCAGACCACGAAACAAGCAGACACGGGACACAACATTTTTGCTAGATTTTTTCCCTTTTTTTTCCGCATCACAGATGAGTTTATTAGCAGCAATGTCCACAAGGATTTCAAAACCACAGAATAAAATATCGGAGGGGCTGTGCCAGCACCAGAATGGGGGAGCCTACGGTGGAGGGTCAGTGTGTGCCGCAAAGCACATTGCAGTTTGTTTTTCTCAAAGAGACCACGCTTCCGGAACAGACACAGTTGAATGTACAGAGTTTACAAATGCTTCTACTTCACACCAATTTTTTTTCTTTATTTTATATACATATAATTATATGAGTAACCTTATGTATATATATATATATATATATAATGTTTCTCTTTTTTTCCTCATATCTCTGTAACGAAGGATTCGTCGACGACCGATGCAGAACTGCACCTACGGCTGGCATCTACGACAGTTCCCACCCCTTCTCGTGTTTGGGGCGTAATTGCCTCCCGGGCGCTGGTGCCTGCGCGCCCGTCGGCGGCGGATCGCCGTCACTTTGACAGAGGCATCCCGGCAACCCTGCTTGGCGCGTCCGGATGCGCAGAGCTCAGCCTCTCTCGTGGGTCTGCCGCGGAGGCAGGACTGCCGTGCACTGGCCGCGCCAAGCGAGCCCGCTGGCTCGTGCCGAAACGTGCCTGGCCTGCACGTGTGAGCCCACTTTGCATCTACGGCACAGACGGGACCGACACTGCCCGCCCTAGCTATGGTTGCAAGTTGATTGTGCAGATCTAACAGTGCGTTACTCTAAGCTGCATCTCGTCTCTCTACAAAAAAAAGCCTCGGCCTGCCCATCCGTGACCGAGCCGAGCCGATCCTCGACTGGGGCAGTGCAGTCGGAGCCGAAGCCGCCGAACTGCCGATGCTCCCCAATCCGCGACGGGTGCCTCCAGACGCAAGCTTCTACAGATGGACAGGTTGCCACATTCAAGGAAGAGAACCACGCAACCATTTTTGTTTCGATTCCTAATAGCCATCACGAGTGTCCGCAACGTACACACAGTGCCGTTTACGGAGCGCTAACACCCCCGGACACAAAGCAGACGGTAAGCGAGCTCGAGGTGGGGGGAGGGTGCTGCCACCCAAATGTCTGGCGGCTGCTCTTGGAGCCCACCTCCAGCACCCTCTCCGCTCGCGTCCGTTGCAACGCCGAAAGGGCGCGGGACCGAAAACCAGAGAGGCCACACATACACACACCGTGAACATGCCTGTACACCTTTGTACAACCGTGGCACGGACCAGACAGTGCACACCCCAGCAACAGACGCAGTTCGTGGCGCAATCGCCGCGCGGCGGCAACTTCCAAGTACTGCGTGGGGATAGGTTCCAAAGTGGACGCGCTGCGTTGCAATGCATGTCACGAGAGGAGAAAGAAAATGAGGTGTATCTGTCAGCAGTGTGTGTGTGCATTTACATATGTACAGGCCACACACGCACACGACCCTTCGCTACTGTACGGACGAATGGAAATGAGTATTTGGGGACCCCGTTGCAAGCGAGGGAGAGGGGGTGGCCTCCGAGTGGGGAGGGAACTTCCGCTTCGCCGAGACAACGCCGACTTTGAATGTGCGTCCCGAAATCAGGGGAGACTAAAGGGGTGCCGACAAAGCTAGACCGGCTTCGGGCGAGTCTCGGCTAACCGCCCACCCACGAGCCGAGCCAAGACGGTTCTGGATAGGCTCTGACATGCCGAAAGCACTAAGCCACAACGGATTTTTAAGGACTCATGGACAGCATCGCCGTTTACGCTGGAGCCGCTGGAGTCTTCCAATCAGCTGCTTCCGTAACAGCATTTCTAGGTGGAAGGCTAAAAAAATCTACCCTTTCACGCAAAATCTCAACTTTCCACAATTCACTGTTGAGAAAGAATGGTTGAGTGTGCCCTGGAGGAAGCCAACGGCCTGCAAATGTATTACAATTACTTGCGTCGCGCTTTCTCCAATTTGAAGCGCATCATTTTGCACGGTAAGCTTCACAATCTTTGGTGTCCTGCTTTTGAATTTTCGTGCCAGCTGACTAACGGGACTCGCAGCAATAACTGGAAGCGAAGGTTTCCCTCCAATATTGACGCATTTTATCACCGTTGCGCATAGTAAATAGGAATTTCGGCTCTTGCGCTGACTCTAGTTCTCCCTCGTGACTCCAAAAGCGGCTCCAGACCAAGCAGGAGCTTCTAGGAAGACGGCCCTGTTCAAGGTTTCTGCTGCAGTGAAGGAACACAACTTTTGCAGGAAACAACAAACGATTCTTCGGATGCAGAGGACGCAATATGGGCACAAACGCAAAGGAATGAACGCGTCGTGTGATAGGACGAACCTCCGGGCATTGGGCTGAACTTTGGGCCTGCAACGATAATAACGACCAACGCACGAATCCGGGTTTCGAAAAAACAAACAGACACCGCGGAGGCCGCACGTCGACAAGAACCGGTGGTCACGTCACTGAAGCCTCCGAGTTTCCTCCTCGCAGATCCGGGATGAGTGGACATTAATTGTGACTCGAGACGCGTGTGGTTGCAGCGGCAGAAGGACAAAGGAGGTGAAGGGATTTGGGCGAGCCACGCAGAGGCGAGCAGACGACAGCGGGGTGCCTCTCACAATCTCGGCTCGGGGCCTAGGGGTGCATCGAGGGCGCCATCAAAATGACCTCCCACGTCCGTTCCGAGGCCCTTAATTTTAAAAAAGAAAAAAAAACGAGAAGAAAAGATACGGCTTGCAGCCGCGCCCCCAGTATTGCGGTCAAAACGCCCGAATGCTGGACATTCTCTCTCGATTGACCTCCTTTCTTTTTTTCGGAGCAGAAAATAAATAAATAAATATACGAAACATAAATTACACAAAGTACATGGCAGGGGGAACAATTACACAAACATTAACAGAGGAAAAAACGAAAACGACAACAAGCAAAACGCCCGAGACAAACGCATCCTCCGGTTAGGGCACTTCCCGCCAATCTTCTGAATGTTCGTCGTGGTCCGAGCGGCGGCTAAAACGTAAGCGGACATTCTTCCAAAGGGCCTCGGGGACGCGAAGCGAGGTAAGGTTGCTGGTAGCAGGCACGCTGCCGCCCTCTTTGGAAAAGAAGGGCAAACCAAACAGGAGAAGAGGAACACGATGTGCCCGCCATCGGCATGTGAATTTGGGCGCGCAAAGACGTGCAAATACTCCCGGTGAGACTAGATTAGGCCGCTGCCCCATCGCCGCAGCGGGTGAACGACCGATTGCGATTGGGGAACTTTGTCGCGCCGAGTTCCGCCGTGGAAGGGAGACGCGGGAAACCCTGGGGGAAGTAGGACCGACATTTATGACGTCCCCAGCTTCGCCCACCCGCGCCGTCGGACAGAGAGACCGCCCTCCCGTTAGACTTCGAACACATCCGCAGTTTCACATGGAGCGCACGGAGGGCCGATTGCCGCAATTTACGGAGCCAACTCGAGGAGCGGTGAGGACCGAGTAACACTTTGGCTTTAAAACGCAGTCCACACCGGGACTCGTAGCATGCAAAACGGCAGGCTTGGCGGCCGACAACAAGCAGGCATCTATAGCTGGTGACTCCTTAAGAGTTCAGGGGAAGCTCCTCCCACCACTTCACTGGAATAAACGCCGTAGAGGAGGCCACCTCCCCTCCAGCATTTGCTCCGCTAAAGTGGACAGAGGTGCAAGGAGCTTCCCTTGAACTCTTAAACCTGTCACTGCCTATAGGTCTCATATTGCATAAAACCAAAGACTATGAGGAGAGAAAAGAAGAAACTTCCCAGTCGAAGAAAAATATGCATGAGGGGAATGTCTCCAATTCCACAAGCTCGTTTATTTTTCTTGTTCCTTACAAACCCACGGTGCTGTCACCAATGGCTTTCTTTAAAGCCTTTGTTAACGAAGAAAAGCATCAACACTTAACTTTCTACGACCTTTTAAGAAAGAGTTCACACTCCGCGAAGCAGGCCTTTGGCAACAGCACCATGGGTCAGTAATGAACAAGAAAAGTAAATGAGTTACCAAAGTTGAGACATTGCCCTCCCACGTCTTCTTAAAATGGAAAGTTTCTTCCCTTTTCTCGCCACGGCCTCAAGTTTTACGCAACACGATCGACTACCACCAGCCTGCCTGCATGCTCGCTGTCTCGTCCTTACTCTCCACCTCGTTGCTTGCCGAGACGCTTCTGCAGAGTCCGGCCTGCAGATTCCGGCTACCCAGTCTCCGCGCGGTCCACACGGACGTGTTTCGGGGTGCAGGCCACCGCCGTTGTGTCTCACGCTCGAGTTGGGTCCTAAGTGCCAAAAGCGTGTCCCATCCCGCAGCACAGCCGCTCGGGGTCCCGCACCGGGGGTTTCCCGCGTTTCCGCGGCGTCCGGCCGAATCGCGCTCGCCCCAGGACTCTGAAGTGGTCGGGGTGGGGGGGCCTGGGCGGCCCCCTGCCCACGCCCGCGTGCGTGTGACTAGAGGGGGTGGCCCCTACGTGGCAGGACCGCCTTCGCCTGCAAACCTGGCCGGATTGAAGTCCTCGTTGACGAAAGAGAAGCCCCGGAACTCCTCTTGGTTGATGTTGCGCAACACCTCCTGGTTGACGGGCGTCAGCACGGGCTCTTCTTTAGTGAAGTCTTGGTCGAAGTTGTTCACGTCCCGCTTGGTTTTCTGCACAGGCACACGTGCCATCCGTCTCAGGCATAGAGTCAATATAATAATCGAGGGAAAGGTCACGCGCATTCTGGTTGCTTCGGAGCAGCAGGCATAGACCCAAAAATCGGTATTCCGACGGGACTGTATTGCTGGCGATGCTTTGATCTTCACTCTTCATTCCCCAAGGTCTGTATTCGGTGCTTTTCTAGCTTTATCCCTCAACAAAAACACCAGTGGCACAAATTGTATATATATAAATACAGTTGGCAAGAATCCTAATGACTTCAACTTGTCACAACAAAACAAACGCACTAACCCATCAGGACAATTGATGTCAGCGCTTGCGATTTGCCGTGCTCTGTTCCAATCTTTACCCCCTGGTCTCAGGGATGCCGAGATAAACGAAAGTATGACCAAGGCAAAATGTGGCAGCAGAGTCGGTAAAGGTTATGACATAAAAAAAAAAGAGCTGGTCGCATTGAGGTTCCTTTTGAATCTTCGCTGCAATAGTATCATCTAACTAAATAAGCGAGATTTTGCAACTGCACTGTATGCAAGCAGAGTCCAGACTAGGCTCAAAAGGCAAACGTTTTAATTGGACAGATGACGGCTCTAAACATTGTGCCATTGCTAAAAGGATACAACAAGCATCACAGGCCCCCAACTTGTCTCATCTGTGTGGTGGCTAACTCCCTTTGTTCCCGCTTTCTGCGGTGTGCTATGCCCCTGCCGTAAGATGCCGTGGTACTTAAATGTCGAATAAATAACTCGGGGTGAAATTCTGGTCGGGACTCTGAGCAGAAGCTCGAGCCACACCCGTTCCCGAGGCCTCACAAAAGAGAGCTGCCATAAAACTCCAAAATTCCGTTTCAATAATGCAACAGCGCTCACAGCTTCTCCAGGGTAGAGGCATGCCTGTGCCCCCAGCACTGCGAATGCTCGGAATGACGAGACGCAACTTCAATTAAACTTTGCTAGAATGTTTGGTGTACCCTATATTTCGGACTCTAGTCCGCACACTATTTATGTCTAAAAGTTTATGTTTTTTCCATGTTGCAGATAATTTTTTACAGGTGCGGATTATACGAGAATTTGCCTTTACCACATCGCTCATAATTATGGGATGGATCTTGTGATCAACAGAGCATGTTAGTGAGGATGTTGTATGGTGCAACCTTCTTTGTGCACTAATAAAGCGAGCATTTTCCGAGATGTGCTGTGAATGGGTTTCCACTACGTGCGAGGTAGGCCCCCAGTGCAGACTATGCAGCAGGTGTGGATTATATTGTAAAATTCCGTATGAATGCCCTCCCCCTGAGAGATTGCCTACCCCGTCTTTTTGACTGAATATTCTTAAAAAAGAAATTCCGAAACATCGCCCACCCCCCGATTATCGTTGGATATCACACAATGTCCGACGGGAATCCCGTCAGCTGCACAGTTAGCGATACTGGCACGTGTGACGGGCGGTTTCGTAGCAGGGTCCTGTGAATCTGCTGCGTCCACGACATCAGTCTTCAATTTGCGCGTGCAATATTGGTTCCCGTGATGCGCGAGTTTGTAGCGGTTTCCCGCGTGCCTATTGTGCCATAAAGCGTGAATTTTCTGTATACACGATCTGCGTTATCTGTTCCTGTGACACAGCAGTGCATAGCGAATTCCCACGTGTTTATCGCACCATCAAACTCGCATTTTCACAGTCCACGATCCGCGGTATCAGTTCCCGTTTTACGTGGCTTGTAGCGGGTTCCCCGAGGTTCATCACCAATTATTTAATAAGTTTCTGCCGTCGCATCTGCAAAGACGCCTACCCCATATTCTTCCCCACTTATTTTGGGTGGGCGTTAAGGGATTTTACGGCAGTCCCAAAAATACTGTACTCGAATACCGGATAAACGGCGACAAGGATCAGACAACGAGAAAACCGACGTTTCGAACTCGGACGAGAATGCCCCGACGTCCCCAAAGCACCACTCACAATCTTGGGCTTGAATGGGGGCTTGACCTTGCGAGCCTCCAGGGCCTCCCAGTCCATGTCCTTGAAGAAGGCGTGGCTGAGGATGGCCTGCTCCCCGCCCTGAGACTCCACGCAGCCCAGCCGCTTGGCCGGGTTCTTGGTCATGAACTGCGTCAACCCAAGATCCACTCACTCCTCTGCCGAGTCAAACACGTCACCCGACATACTACAGTCGAGCCCGGTTATATCACACCTGGGTATTTCGAATTATTGCTTATATCGAACAGTCCAAACATCCCCTTGAAAATCACATGTAATAGTAAAGGAGCGTTGTTTTTCTGTATCGAACTCCCATGGCGGGGACACTCGATATAGCGAACTAGCGAACGAAGCACGGCCGCTGCTTGGGGCACCCGTCGCCTCTCCTGCGGTCAGATTGCGCCGGCGGCAAGTACGTAGCTCGCGTTGCGGGGCTCGCAAACCGCCAAGCCAGCATACGCGCACGGGGATGCGCAGCGACAGAACAGTAAACAGCCATAAAAAAAAAAGGGGAGAATGGCAAAAGCAAGGGGAAGGGCACATGTTTGCGAGTAGGGAGGGCAGGGAGTGCCTGCTGTTGAAATGGTAGCGTGTGCACTTTCCACGAACGCAGCTGTCGCTGGGCGACTCCTTAGCCCCAAAATAAAATAAGCAAAAAAAAAAAAAAAAAAGTCTGTCATGTTGAGTGTGTTGACAACAAAAGTTGAGCAATTGCACTTTGAACCCCTTATCTTTGTTTATGTTTTTCTTTCACCGTTTTTGCTTTGCCCGTTTTTTTTTTCTTTTTCTGCCTTTCTTTTTTTGCTGCCTCAATTTAGTGATGTTTCTTTTTGGTTGCTTGCTTAACTTTATTCTATGGATTGAGAGTTCTTTTATGCAATTCGCTTTTTCCGTTTTTTCATTTATAAAAATATTTTTGTGTTTTGTGGTTGGCGCTGTTTGGAGGTCGTGGCTCGGCGTAAACGATCTGATCATCAACTAATCTCTACTGTATTTAGCGGCTCTTGAAGGCTCTATACGATAAGGTCTTGTTTGACGCAGGCTTCGGTATTAGCAAAGACGCACGGAAATTTCAACTAGAGCTTAAGTTAACATGTTTTTGTATATTAAATTATCAATATTTAGAACTATTTACGATCCCCTTTGAATTCAATATATCCGAGTTCAACTGTAATTCATATCGGTGAAATTTGGCACCCCCGATAAACTCACATTTTTTGCTCGACACCGATAAACACCAATCGTTTGCCCAACACCAAAGCTTGACAACGTAAAACACCGATAATGAAAGAGAGACATGGAAGACAAACAGACAACAAAAAAATAAACTCAGAAAAAACACCCTCAATCGAAGAAAGGTAAAACCCGAAAACACGAAACCCTTCTGATTTGTGAAGTTTGTTCAGTCTTCTTATCTATGCCATTGAAGCATCTTTGCTTATTACAGATTTAGTTATAACATAAATTTGGATATAACTGATGGATTAGTAAGTAGTTGGCAGTTTCATTCTGTCGTACTCTTCGACGGCAGTCGTCATATCTGACGCCGTCCTTCAGTAGCGATGCCATCCATTTTGTAAACTGCTGTCGTCACGTTCGGCGTCTCCTGAGCCTCGTACGACTCAGAGCTCACAGTGATGATGATCCTCGGCAGAGCTCAATAACAAATCACCACAAATCTTTCAAAGTTCAAAACTTTCAATAAACCAGTTCAGATATCTTTTCTCATTTCATCAGTCTTATTGGTTAAAACAAATTCCAGTCATAATCCACCTCAAAGTCTGTAGTAAGAGTATCTACATCCTGCATAATCCTTTCACAAGAGACCAAAATCTTCGTCACTATCAAGGTCTGTCGTAATGATTTCATACTGTATTTATCGGTTCCGTTAGCCACCACTGTCTCATTGAAAACTGCTGAGAATCGCTTATAACTCTAGAATCAGAGAACATGTAAGTTTTCAAACGTTGGCACCCGGTGTCTCAACCGCTCGTGCTAGATTTAGGCTGAACCGGGCGTTCGACAATGTGTAGCATATAGAATGGCAGTGAAAAAAATGTGGTTCGTTTTTCTTTCAATTGCCTTGTACTTAGCCTAACAAGTGTCAATATCCGTTGTGAGATCCAAACGTAAGCGCAGTGACACGACCAACTGGCTTTGTCAGTTTCCTTCTTTCCAAAACTAGGCTTAGAACGAGACAGGTGGAACCACACATGCAGTAATCTGGTGAGACGGTTACCAGTCGACTGTCTATTACGGTACAACAAAACCAAAGAGGTATGGCTTGCTTCTGGGTTGCCAACTCGCAGAATAACAACATCACGAGTTTCGAACAGCAGCTCGGTTCTAGCCGACTAAGTGCCTCAGGACTGAAGCATCTTTTTACATATTGTCACTTTGCGAAACAGCCTTACAGAACTTGAATAAGAGGCGACTTAGAGCTCTTGCTACTACACCAACCTTACTAAAACAGACCTGTTTATTGAAAGTAACGCTCCTCATTCCTGTTGCTTCTTCCTAGCAAGGTTTGGTCCGTTTACGAATCAACATTTATTTTATCGAGATAAACTTGGCATTTATCGGTATGTATCCTGCACCGGAGCCCCCCAAAGACGTAAAACAAAAGAAAAACATTGTGCAAAAAGGCAAGCTGTGGATGATGAAACAAAATAAAAATGCAACAATGTGATCTGAAGAAATGCACTCTTCTTCATATGGTTCCCAAGGATGCCCTTCTGACTCAACGGGGCAGCATTATCATGACCAGTGTTTATGCTGGTATAAACTTGGTAGTTCGTACCTCTTTGATATTAATAAACACCAAACAGACCACAATATGACGGTGTACGACGAGATACCACACTAGTGACATCTATCAAACAGCGCACTTCTGCACATATTTTGCGCATCATTTTTTCACCATGAGCTTGAGTATATTCTGACAATGTTATATACGAGACAATTTCTTACAGATAGCGCATAGATTTGATCTCGCAAACAGTACTGCAAAACCTTCGGTCTCGTACCACACAAATGGAAAGGGTTCCAGGGTTCCCCAGTAGCCACCGTGCCAGCGTATTATCTCGATGTAAGCCGTCATGTGTGGCCGTAGCGCGGTCCATCGCGGGCAGACGCAAACGTGTGCTCAAGCCTTCGGGAACGCCCTCGGAAGGTTTGGGGCGACGTACCCCCTTGAGGATGGAGACGGCCTCCTTGCTGAGCCAGACCGGGTAGAGGACGTCGTCGTGGAGGATCGACTCGAAGAGGTCGTCCTCGTTGTCCGCCTCAAACGGTGGCTGGCCCGCCATCATCTCGTACATGAGCACTCCGAGCGCCCACCAGTCCACCGAGGGGCCGTACTCGAGCTCCTGGAGGATCTGCAATGAGGCCGAGGGACAGTCAGCTGAAGAGGCTCCAGGGACCTCTGGCACAACCGCAGACTCTGACATCGTGGCAGACTAATAGGTTTCGACAGAACCAACGAGATCGCTACCTCATGGCTAGAGTAATAGGTTCTGGTAGAACCACACGAGACTGCTACATCATTTATGATGGATTTGCGGGTTGTGACTGAACCACAAACTGAGACCGCCACGTTAGAGCAGACTAATAGGTTGCGACAAAGTCAGCGACTATGAGACCGCCATGATGGTGAACTCGCAGGCTGTGACAGAACCGCAGACTTGAGGCCAACATGGCAGACCCATAGACTGACAAAACAACACTGTAAGGCTGCCACATCATGGCAGCATGGCAGACTCACAGTTTGTGTGACAGACGCATCAAGTGTGACAAAACCACACACTGTGAGATTGCCACATCATAGATTGTGACAAAACTACAGACTAATACCCTCTCATCGTGGCAGACTCACACGTTGTGACAGAACCTCAGACGGTGACAGAACTACATACTGCACAACCCCAGACAGTTGAACACCCATAGGGTTGTGTGTACAGTCGAGCTTGATTATTTCGAACCCGGGTATTTAGAATTATCGCCCATTACATCCCCTTGAAAATCCCATGTAGAAGAATAAGAGCCTCGTGTGTCTGTATGGAACTTCATCACCCGGGGCACTCAACACATTAAACCGCGCGCTGTGCTTCTGGTAGGTAGGCTTTCTAAGGACACAGCCGTCGCTGCTCCCGTGATCGGTTTGCACGCGTTGAGGCTGTGCAAGGAAAATCACAATGCGCACCAGCCGTTTCTTTTGCTTCAGCCGCACATAGCAAAAGGGGCAAGGAAGAAGAGGAGAAAAACGACACCCTGCCTCAACTCCTTTGCCCCCAAACTAAAATTTAAAAAAAAATATATAGTTGTTGAGCGTGTCGACATGTGCTTCAAAAGCCTTGTTCATCTTTTAGAGCGATGGACTCACGGGTGACACTTCGCGGGATTTTCGGTGTTTGCAATTATTGCCGTCTGTCGTTGCAACGTGGATAGAAAAGCCCCTCTTCACCCCCTTGTGGCACAAAGAGAGAGAAGTAGAGTGTTTCCATTGGGCCGCGCACATTGAGGCCGTGATGTGCAAAGAAGATTACGCGTCCCCATCTCCGCTCATCGCCGAATGACAATGTTACACCCACCCTTCACCGCTCAACAACACCGGGAAAACCTGCGCCTTCGCTCCCATCGTCGCTGCCGCAGACTCTTCCTAATGGTGCTACCGCGCCAAAGCCGTACTCCGTCCCAGGAGCGAGAGCAGAGGGAACGGCCCGCTTCCACGACTCACATAGGCGAATACTTTCGACGTCGCCAACCTAGCCAACCCGCAAGAGACGTTTCACCGACTTCATTTCGTACTTCACCGTTGAAGCCATTGTAAAGGGAGACTTCAATATCAACCTTAGCAGCTGCAAGAACGAGTGGTTCCGCAGCCTCATCACGGCGTAATTGGGCCGCTGCACGGTGTCTGACGTCGGTGCACCGACAACACGTGCCGGCAACACTATCGACCTCGTGATTACGAAGAACACTGACACTCGCATCCGGAGTGTCGCCTTGCCCACTTACTTCACCGGTCACCGAGCATTCGTGGCAGTCGTTGGGCACATCCACGACACCAACCAACTACGTCCTCAAATACATGACGACACCATTTTGCCTGCAATGTGCGAACGTGCTACAGCTATAGCTTTTATTTCTTCGCACGAAATGGGTGAAAAAGGATGCTTTTCTTCTTCCCCTCGTTTTTGTTTTTCCTTTTCTTTTTTCGCCTATTCTCGCTGTCTTTTATTTAATGCCAGTTTTTTCTGTTTTGTTACGTTGGCTTTGATTTACGGGTGAAAAGAGTTGCCTCTTTTTATACATCCCACTCGTTTTTTTAAACTTCAGCATTCTCTTTTCTTTTTTTTTTTTTTTTTCTTTTCAGGTTCTGTGGTTTGTAGGATAGTGGCCATGCACGCTCATAAGTGCGGCAAAATGGACGCGCAAGGTATGCGCGCCAGTGGGAGCACTGACAGTCCTACTTTTTAATAAGGTTTCCAATGTCTTTAATACTTCTTGAATGCACCATGCGGTAGGCGTCCATTTGTCATAGTTTTTCGTATTAGCAAAGATGCACGGAAGTTTCAACTGGAGCTTAAGTTAATATATCTTGTATATCGAATTATCAATATATCAAACTACAGGGTGATTCAAGGAGACGGCAGGCTCTTTAAATCGACCGGAAAATTTGGTTTCTTAACCTATCGCGCAACGACTTTGTGCAGCGTTGCCCACAGATGGTGCATTTTTTTTGTGAAATTTGCAAAGAGCGAACTTACCTCAGAAAAAAGTAAAGAAAGAAAAAGGCTTCGCTCCTAAGGTAACACAGCGACGCCACCGGTCTTCAAACAAGACAATGTCGTTTCGCACGGGAGACAAGAGATGGCGCAACGAACGAGCATACGGCACCGAGAGCCGGCGTCTTTAGCAGACAATCTTTTCGACTCAAAAGCGGCGCGCGTTCCGCAGGTGGCTACAGTCGCAGAAACAAAAACAGGCGCGGTAACAACAAGGAACTGCAGTTCCTTGTCTGCTAAAGACACCGGCTCTCGGCGTCGTATGCTCGTTCGTTGGCGGCAGTTGGCGTCGCGACCGCTTGCACCATCTCTTGTCTCCCGTACGCAACGGCGCAGTGTTGTTTGAAGACCGGTGGCTTCGCTGCGTTTCCATAGGAGCTAAGCCTTTTTCTTTCTTTACTTTTTCCTCGGGCAAGTTCGCTCTTTGCAAATTTTACAAAAAAAATGCATTATCTGTGGGCAACGCTGCACAAAATCGTAGCGCGATAGGTTAAGAAACTGAATTTTGCGGTTGATTTAAAGAGCCTGGCCTCTCCTTGAATCACCCTGTATGTTGCGATCCTCTTAGAGTACAATGTATCCAGGTTTGTCTGCATTAATTATCTGTTTGTTACACTTGCCCTCTTAACTCATAAATTTAGAAACTGCTGTCCGACACGGCGGGTGCGACGTGCTGGGCCGCCTGGCATGGCCGTTCTTCCGGTTTTGTTTAAGCTTTTGTTTCTCACCCCTCTGCCTCTTTGCACAGCACTTCTTTTCCGTTTTTGCCTAGGCAGGCACGACATTGATCTAGAGGTGGAGGGGTCAATACTTCAGCTTGGGCGAGCGGGTTAATCATGGGTGGAGGGGATTGAGGTTTTTGCTAAATCCCGGTTGCGCTCGCTTCATCTTGCGTGTAGTCTGGCGTTTAGAAGTGTGCGCCACGCCACTGTGTGTGGCACGCTTCTGTGCACGTGCATCAAGCTTCACCGCTCTACATTGGCGCGAGTATGAGCTTCACCGCATTGCACCGAGGTGCTAGGAGCAGCGGCAGACGCAGGACAGCACCCGGGTTAGTTCAATCAGCTCAAAAATTTTGCCCACTCTCATAGCAAACCATTTTTTCACGATTATAGATCGACACCCAATTTTAAATAATGGTCCCCAACCAAAACGTCAACCTGTATTTCAATAGGATAGTTTCCCAGCCATCAAAGTTCACTTCAAATACATTGCTGTGCGCAAGTTGTTTCCTGCCCCTAAAAGCGTCATCGACTGTCACATTTTCCTGGATCACAAGTTTTTTTCACAACAGTTTCCTGAAAACCGCACGAATGAGGTTCTGCCGCACCCCCGACAAGACCTACTGCTACAGCGCCCACCTGCCGTAAAAATCTAAGCTCAATAAATTTATTGGGAGTTAGTTCTTAGAGCAGGGTGTCCCACCAACCTCGGGGGCAATGTAGTCCGGTGTGCCGCAGAAGGTGGTGGTGGTGACACCATTCTTGATGCCTTCCTTGCACATGCCGAAATCCGCAATCTTGCAATGGCCGTCCGTGTCCAGTAAAATGTTGTCCAGTTTCAAATCCCTGCAAGGTACGGCCCAGCATCGAGGAGGGCTCTTTGTCTAGCCTCCGTTTCATTTTAAATATGACTGCAGCCGACGCTATGATTTGATGAAGCCAAGCAGGCAGCGCCATAAGTGCATCGCCACGTTGCACGTAGTATTTGCCCAAACCAATCATGCACAAAAAAAAACAAGAAAGAACGCACAATTACAGCGAAAGCAAAAGCACAAAGACAACAAGCGATGTTACGAGGCACTTTTGGCGCTGCTTGCTTCGCTCCACCGGTGTCGGCTTTGGTCAGACGTCGTCTGAGTATGGTCTCGCACGGCACCCACCTATAGATGACGCCATACTGGTGTAGAAACATGAGGGCTAGCGTCACCTCAGCCGCGTAGAACCGCGCCCGTGGCTCGTCAAACTTTCTCGCTTTCTGGATCTGGAACATGAGGTCTCCGCCGTTGACGTACTCCATGACAAAGAACAGTCGATCCTGGAAATGAATATTGCGGTTGTCAGGACGGCACCTCCCCACGATTATGTCAACCTGCACAGAGTGTACCGCACATACCTACGTGCAAAGATGGATAGGAGCGAATGATCTTTTGCAGGGCCATGTGTGGTACCCTACACTAGTGGTTCTTAAATAGAGTGGATACCTGGGGCCCCTGGAGGCCTCCTTCCCCAACACTCAATAGAGCAATAGAATTTCTCTCTATTTTACTAATGTTGGTTGTTTCGCAAGGCTAAATAGACCAAAACATGTGCGCGAAGTGAGTAAGGCTGATTCCTCTCAGTTTCAGAGATTCAAAGTTGCTTCAAAATTAACTTTTGTCAATGTGACCCCCCCCCCCCCTCTGGTGGATGGGTCTGCCGTCATTTCCACCGATCGAGAAGGGGTCCCCCAAACATGAATGGTTGAGAACCACTAACCTCTACACTATTGCAGTCAAACTGCCTTTTTATATATGTAGCTTCATTAATAACAAAACGGGTCCTATTGCAATTTGACTTTCCTTTATTGATGGTCAAACTGGGCTAAGCTATTGTTTTGTGCTGTTTTAGGTGCTCATAATGACTATAATTAAGGCTGCTGCTCTGGCACGAGGTGATGGGAAAATACTGCTTGTATCTGGACCTGTCATCGTTTCGGTTCACGCAAGTTGCAAGACGAAATTAAGAAAGGCAAATGAGTCGGGATGATCAGAAACTGAGATGCGGTAATGGACAGGTAATCATCGTCATTACCTGTCTCTATTAACACCTTCACCCTACGACTTTTACCCAATGCTGTGGGTTTCCTGGGCATGGGTCACTGATTTTTCTGTAGCGCCGTGGCTGTCCAATATGAGGGTTTTATGTGCCAAACCAACGAAGGGCGTCTGGCATACCCCAACGGAGGACTGAGGATTCATTTCGACCACCTAGGAATTTGTGGATGTGGAACCGAAATCTTGGTTACCAAGATTTTGGCCTTTTTCGCATTAAGCCTCCGTCAGGTTGCGGGCAACTTGGCCAGGATTCTGACCCACCAACTGGGGATCTGTAGGCGGGTGCCTTGCGCCTTGGACCCACTGAGGGGGCTCAGATGTGACGGCTGCCCCGAGATGAAATAAATACTACATCACAAATACAGTTGAAATAGTAAAGTCGAAATGCTGGAACTATCTTCAGCCAAAGCCGACCAGAGGTCGACACAAGGGCCCGCATACCTCTGTCTGGAAGCAGCAGTGCAGGGCCGTCAGGAAGGGATGCTTGGCCGACAGGGTCAGGATGCGCTTCTCCGTCATGGTACAGTCGACGTCATCATCTTGGAGGATCACGTCTTTCTTGAGCACCTTCACCGCATACACTTCCTCGGTGCCTTTGCGCTCTGCCAGCATCACCTGAGCAGGAAAGGGGCTTGAGACTCCTCGTGCCCAGTGTTGCCCAAGGATGACACAGAGAGTTCTTCCGGTGTATAGACCTCTTTCACAAGGGCGCCACCACCTTCAATATCGCCCCTCTTAATATGGGCAAAAACATAGTTTTGATGTTGCCACACCTACAGAATAACGTTTTGCCTCCCCTTTATTTTTTTTACTATTTGCAGGATGAAAAGTTTTATTATTTTTTCATCGCCCATATGCCTACCAGGTGACTGGGGCAGAGAGTAAGCGAAACAGCTCTATAAGACACATCTCTTTTTCCAAAATTTCTATCGGTGCGTCTCATGCAATGGTGCGACTTATACACGTTTCTTTTATAGTATGTACAAACCTTGACACTCTGACGGTCGTCGCCTTACATGTATGGCGGCGACTGACCATTTGAAAGTGCCTGCCTAGACGCAAAACTGCGTGCACCGCGGGAGGTGGTACTGTTTGTTATGTCTTTTGGTGAATTATAAACGTTGAATTCACAGGGCGTTTTGCTCTGCTGGGGCTATTTATAGTTAAGAAATTTGACGCTCAGTGCACGTGATTCGCGCGAGATGGTCGCTTCGCAAGTCGGCTGCTCTGGCAGTACTCACGATTGAAGTGCTGACTCTTCTGATTCAGAATTAACGCTTCTCAGAATTTAATCCAAAGGATAAGAGCTCCCCATCCGATAGATAAGCTCTGCCACCGGAATATCACGAAAGAGGGCGCACGAAAATAAAACCGAATGGAAGAAAGGTGACCCCTTTTCACTTTCACTATTTCCTTTCCATGCTTCTCAACCTGTACAGCACGCAAGTACTGCTTGTGCTCCCGCTAGATAATAAATAAAAAACCTGCGCAAAAATGTACCCTTTCTTTATACTATACCTTCGTAAACAAAACCCGACTGCTGGGAAACATCTTGAGAAAACAAAGGCTTAGCTGTCAAAGTTGAGGCCGTATCGGCATCTATATGAAAGAAGGAACCGCAGAGTAGTTGCCGACGCTCTGCTTTTCCGGCAGGCCAAAAACAATTCAAAGCTTGATGGCATAGGTCCGTGGATGCGGCGACTATGCGTTGACCGTACAAAGTCCGTGTTGTGCAACGACTTACAGACCGGAAAATATGAAAACGGTTTTCAAAAATATGTACGCAGCACAACAAAGTTAGAGCAAACATGACATCGGCGCCATTTCATATTCTGCCCACACTGCAAGGTAGAGATAAGGATCAAATTCTGCCACCAAAGTTCCCGAACACACTCTTTGCTAAATCACCCAAGCACCAAGGAGCGTGCTCCGAGTAGAGCTACTATGTGTGCCGCACGTGCTAGCACCTGCAGCAGTAACTCTTCTAAAACAAAAATCTACAACAAATGGCACTTGACACGTGCATTCATCAGTGCCTTATTTTGGTTTTGACTTTCAATCTTTTACACAAAAGAGGCAAACACATGCTGTGCGTTTACCTACATCTCCAACCTTCTGCTTCGGACTTGGGTAATTTGGCAAAAGCCCTATACAAATCACATCTGTTTCGGCCGTGTCCCATTATGAGTTGTGCATGCCTTGGCAGAGAATGTCTATCCAGATCTAAGAGCTTGATATAATGATTTTAAGGAAAAGTCCCCAAGGTAGAGAAGATTTGTGCAACAATAAATTGGCTTCCACGCCCTCTAGGCAACTGGCAGCCCCTGAAAAAATCCGCATGGTATGGGATTTGGTACTGGGACCTCTCCAAGAGTAGCAGAGTGCTCTACCAACTGAAATAAGCAGGAGCTGGCGGTCAGTAGAGCAAATAGATGTTAACATTCATTTGCTCTACTGACTCCAGCTCCTGGCTGAGCACCGATTGTTGTTGAAATGACTCCAGCTCCATGCTAATTGTAAATGAAATGTGATAGCATTCTGCACCGTCGTGTACAGTGTAAATATTTTTGAATGCGAAAGCATGAACTGGTCTCATGAAGCGAGCTGACGTCATCAGTTTGTATTGCGAAAACGGATCCTAGTTTCCGCTATCGCCTTCAATTCCATTGGCAGGCGCGTGTCGAAGGGGCTCCCATTGGCCACTGCGTCATGGCCTCCGAGATCCGGAAGTGCGCGCGCGCTAGTACGCAGCAGACGACAAAGGAAGCGGACGAGCGGCTTGCATGCCTTCGCATTCACAACTCATAAGAAATGTTTAGGTGTACCTCGAGCTTTTTATTAAAACGCTTAAGAACTGTTGTGGAACTTGTAGGAATATTTTTCGAGGATGCACATGAATTCTTTTATAAGATTAAAAAACAATTACTAACATAATTTTCTTATCTAACTGTCTACTTCTCGAGGATGGGCTTCCCGCTACCTAGCAACGACTTTTGTTGTACTGTTACAACCGTTTATAACCAAGTCGGTTATAACGAAATTGTGGCTATAGCAAAGCGATCACCATTTCCAATTTCCATTTGCACTTTTTAAATGTGTTTGCGTCCGTTTTTAGAGAAGGAAATTGAACGGCTCCCACAGATATAGTGAAATTTCCTGGTAATTTAAAAAAAATAATTAAATACTTTAAGTTTATTGAGCTGCAGACCGCCGCAATTTGCTGCTGCGGCCGAGCAGCCACACAAAATGAGCCGCAGATGTGCTGCAAAGGCCTGCAATGGTAGCCTCCGCATCATCGTCTGCTATTGTCTGCTCCACACTCCTTATCTGGAACGCGACTTTTCAGCATAGAATCCAGAGAAGCCGTCTTGGAGTGCCGATAGGGGCATATGGAGCACTAGAGACAAAGTACCTACGACGTACCGACGGAGAAGGCGGAAAGAACCTAGATTTGTGAGATGGAGCAACTCCAATTTAATAGAGGACGCCTCCTGGGGACATGGGCTCAAGTGCGCCTTCATTTGGTTGTCTCGTGGCCAGCGTGGCGGGGAAACCGGACAGAGAGGCGGGCACGTTTGCAGACAGTAAACGGTTCCGACTCCTTGCAGGCTGTAGCTCCGATTGCAAACGTAGCCCACAAACCACGTGACCCCGATCGAGCAGTTGTCCCCACTCTTAAATCTAGGCTCTCTATACTGACGAAACACAAACTTGAGCGCAAACTCGATGTCGTGCGAACTTTGTTTGCTTCGTGTTCCGTGTCGGTGGTGGTAGTCGACGTGGTTTCTCTCTGTGATAAGTATAGCTTCGCACAAGCACCGATTGAGCGATACATAGCCATGAATAATGGCGAGTCCCGGCACCACCGGCACGTCGATGGGAAGACGAAGGCAATCTCCTTGAAACAAAAGCATGCCGCCATCCTAGACGAAGTGCGAATCAACGTAAATAATGCCATCCACCGCCGGTGTCCTCCGCGGCAGCTGTCGATAGGGCTCTGGACGTGGTTCATATGTAGCTTCCAGGATTTTCTTTCGATCGGAGCTTCTTGCAGTTGGCAAGAAGCGAGTCCAGTCTAGCAGAGAGCACGCGCAGGGAAGCCTTAACCGCTGCATGCACGATAAACATGTGCCTGTGACAACCCGTGTTGTATATGTATATATATTTTTTTTTTTTTGTGCATTACCTTTATGGAGTAGATATAACGAAGAAGAGGATATAGTGAAGTGATTTCAGATTCCCTTCGACTTCGTTATAACCGGTCTCGACAATAGCACTAGCGCAAGTAAAATGTTTCCCTCTAACTGTATGCGCATAAAGTCGCAGCTAACTGCTTGCTTCACTTGCACGTTCCGTTTATGTCGGGCTCGTGATCTTGAGGTCATGGGTTCGATACCCTTTAGTGGAAGGTCGTCATTTTGATCTTCTTTCTCACTTTATCCCCCCATCACTTCCCTGCACGTGCGCATTAGTTTCGTTGGTCAGAAACAAAGGGACAGACCCGAAAGTGCGTAGGATTTGGACATAAATGTTTTAAAAAAAGGAACCGTAGCAGCGTCACGTGGGTGACAGATGTTCCTACCTTTCCAAAGCTGCCCTTGCCCAGGACCTTGATGAAGGTGAAGTCATCTAGACCAAACTTCTTGGGCCGCTTGCCGTCCCGGCTGCTGGGCGTAGGCGAGAACTTCTCCCCGCCCTCCCCTCCTGAGTCCGGCACCTTGAGCGAGAACTGGCCGTACGAGTCTGTCAGGGACAGCATGTCGTACGCCCCAAAGCTCATGCCTGCGACAGAAGAGAGCAGACATGCTGCGTTGCAGAGAGTAAAGACGATGCATAGCTCATGGATCCACTGGTGCACGGTCTAAAGGGAGGGTTGCTGTCCTTTGCTGTAGTAACTAGGGTTCACCACAATTTAAACCAGTGGTTCTTAAATGGGGGTCCATGGACCCTTGTGGGCCCCTGAAGGCATTTTCGGGGTCCCCGAAGCCTTCAATCATCGGTCAAGCCGAGCAATAAAATTATTTTATTATCGATGCTGACTGTCTCACAAAGCTAATATAGATCAAACCATGAGCGCCACGTGGGCAGAGTCGATTGTTCTCCGTTTGAGAGCTTCAGATTTGGTTTTTCTTGCATTCAATTTTCTTCATTTACCTGTTTCTCATTGTAATAGTTCAATACTCGCCCCCTTGTGGACAAGGTCCTCCGTCACCTCTGCCAATCCAGAAGGGGCCCTTGAAACGTCAGTGGTTAAGCCACTGATCTAAACCCCGAGTTCTCAAACTTGGTTTCTAGGAAGGCTCCCCGACAGTACCCTCGTAAGCTCCCTGAGCTCCCAGAATTCCTCAACCTTCCAAGAAACCAAATTTGATGTTTGTGTTCAAACGGTGTAAGGTTGGTCTGCCTTTGAGATACGGCGACAAATAATTTTACGCTGTAGATGAAAAATGTAGCCAGTGCAGTACGACTGCTAGCCTGGGGGGTCTTCACTGTGCACCAGACAATCAGGACACGCTGCTGCACGCCGGTAAAATGCTCGTATCCAGATCAAAACGGGCAGGAGTAAGGATGGAACCTCTTGGGTCCCGCAGCACGGGCTCCACATAGCTGTGGTGCGCTAACTCGCTTGCCCACTGATCCCTGAGAACGCATCCTTCCAGTTTAAGCCCCATTTTAGCAGATCCGCCCATTGATGCATAGCTACGAGTCAAACGCTACCTCGCACACACATGATTGTTTACAAGGTCTGCAGGCTTTTACGCTGCTTCACCGGGTCAGTGTCGTTACCCGAAGGGGGTTCCTCGGCCGCCATTTGGGGCAGATAGGGACTCTTTGAGATCTAAAATTTTGTGACTCCTGACCAAAACCCTGAGACGAGGAGAAATAAAGTAACTCCTCCTTGTCGCTGGCTTTAGATTAAGATGTTTTCGAACTAGCTCTTTTGCACTTTCTTTAGTACTTTCTTTTCTTGCAAAAAGGGTTCCCTGTTTTCGAGACTTGATCTTTTTTAGAATTCGGGGGTGTTTTTTTCGGAGTTTATTTGTTCCCAGAGGATTCGGTGCTTCTTCGAGTCTATTTTCGGTGTTGGAAAAAAATTTGACGTTTAACGGGGCTCGAGTGAAAAAAAATAGGACACGGCCACAGGATCTCCCAACCCAAGGGGAACATGCACGCGACCCGAATACTCGGAAAACATTGCGATATTCATAAGGGGATGACACGAGAAAGTGGGGTGTAGTTCCCGAGGGATGACGCAGCTTCGTAGAGAGTTCTGCGCAAGGTGCATTCGGGTCAACGCAAAATAATGCTGTATACACAAATTCCTTTCCGTGAAGTTAAATTTTTATTTTTTCTTATTCAAGCACAGCTGCAATTCAAGGTTTTTTGGTTTCGCCCTTTTTTGATAGAACAAGTTCAGGGGTTGCTTTTTGGGGCTGGTCAAAACCGTATTTTCGCGATTTTAAGCCCCCCCCCCCCCCCCCCCCCTTTCAAACATGAACACCTGAAAAAAAGTTTGCATGCGAATGTCGGCACCCCCCTCCCAACAAGAAATTTGAGATCAGAGATGCCGGTATCGCTGAGCGCCGGAGTCGCGAACGGCCGCTGGCGCTTGGCTTCAACGTCAGTTAATAGACGGCAGCACATACTGCCATTTTCCACTATCGCATCCGTGCAGGCTGCGAAAGTGTTGCCGTAATCTCTATCGAAGATGTTTTGTCTGCTTGGTTTCATTGCACTTGTTGCAGTCGGTTGTTTAGTCTGTTAAGCCTATTCGTCTACCTTGGCCTCGCAATCGTATTCCGTTCACTGTGTGCACGTGGTTTGCGGAAGTCATCCATCGTGAGTGCGAAGAGAACTTCATACACGATGCAGTTCAAGAGAACGGTTATTTCTTACGCGGAAGACAACGGAAATCATGGCGCTGCCAGACAGTTCAAAATGCGGTGTTTCGCGCAAGTTGAGGCTGGGTGGAGCGGATGATGAAGAGGAACGGTTTCTCTTTGAGACGCCGAACCACTATCTGCCAGAAGCTACCGGTGGTCTTCGAGGACAAGCTTGTCAACTTCCAACGTTATGTGAAGAAGCTGCGTCGCGAATCTCCCTACGGATTTGGTCAGATCGGCAATGCTGATGAGACCCCTGTGTACGTCGACATGCCAAGGACGTGCACCATGAACAAAGTAGGCGCCCGAGAAGTATAAGTGCGTCCGACTGGCTATGAGAAGCAAAGGGTGACCGTAATGCTGTGCATCACAGCCGACGGTCCGAAACTTGAGCCCTACATCATCCCCAAAAGACTAGTCGCGAGAGTGACTAGTCGACCGGGGTGAAAACTGATGGCAAGCGGGCCACTCTCCAGTCTTTACTTTATTTATTTCCTTTAGAACATTTATTCTTTCATTTTAATTATAATAAATTAGTATTTCTGGTGCAGATTTCGTATGTTCGGGGCATGTTCCAGATCTAAGCACCCCCCCCTCCCCTCTTTAAACATCGCAAGTGTGAAAAAAAAGGGGGTGCTTAGAATCGAGTAAATACGGTACATACTGAGAAGATGGAACCCTAGTCGTAACTCAAAGATGTGCCGGTACTCAAGTGCCCTTCCTTCACCCACAGCTGTGCCGCGAAAAAGCAGCAATTGTAACTCAGCTGCCGCGGTTGTCACTTTGCTGCAGTGCTCCAAAGACGTATGGGAAGCACACTCCAAAAATATTCTAAACATGTTTCAAATATGTACTACCATAGCCTCCTTTATACTGATAATGCCTGCCCAATGGTTGGCTTCACCATGCTTCGTCGTCGTCGCGGCTGCTTCGCATGTTTGCTGCTAGAGGCGCCAAAACCCCATACAAAAATGCAGACAACTCTTCTTCGCTGCCCGTTGCTAGTCCACTGTGATGCCGTTTGTGAATTGAATTCATTCGTAACCCATGCTACATACCAGGCGCAGGGCACCGTCAGAATAGATTTTATATATAAATAAGTCTTATACTTTTCTTTTAGCTTTCACGTCTTGGTTTTGTTTGTATGCTGAAATGTTACCAGACCTCTGGTGCTTGTCATGTCGACAACGGAAATAGTCAATGCCAATTAAAAAGGAGACAGACAGGCTGACGGACTTTCACGACGTTGAAGAAGTGACCACTTTAGAATTTTTATTGCTACTGGAGCACAGACACAAAACATACGGCCCGCGGACTATAGTCCACGGGCCGTATGTTTGCGGCGGGCCGTATGTTGCGGCGGTCCTGAGAAAAACCACATGACTGCCGCATGTATACATGCGGCAGTCGTGTGGCTTTTTTCAGGACCTCCAACACATCCCCGCTGACCGAAAGCCTGCGCACCCGTCGGCAACACACTGACCGGGGGTCTTGATATACAATTCCAATTTGTTTTTTTAAGTGCACAGCCCCTTGATGGTTTTGACCGGTCTCTTGTGGTCCGCACTGTTTTTCACGTATGCAGTTCTAGAGTTTTTTACCGGCTTCGTAGATTGTGGCTTTTTGGTGAAGATCTTCTTGGAGTCATGCTTGTCAGTCACGGATGCCGAGTAGTTTGTGAAAATTGGCCTGAAATATCTAGTACACAGAAGTTGCAGAAAATCTTTGTGATGGTTGACATCTTTCTCTACCTTTGCGTATTTCAGAGCGCCATGGTGTATAAAGCCTGGTTCAGACAGTTGCGTTTGACTGCGTTTGACTAAGTTGCGGCTACAAAAAACCAGAACATCCCTGCTGCTTATATCGCGTGCCAAGATGATTCCTTGAATTGGATTCCACGTTTCATACGAAGCACAGATGTGTCGGTGACTCGCATTTCGGTTCTCGACGCAACGCAGTCAAACGCACTCAAACGCAAGTGTCTGAACCGGCCTTAAGAGTATCCACCGCAGTATCACCAGCTGCATGCTAAGGCTTTTTCATTTTCAGCATATTTCGTTGTTGTTTTTTTTTGTTGTTTTTTTGTAAAATCTCTACAAAGTTCTTCAGCGCATGCAGCACCCTCACTAGCTTCACTGATGGATAGTATAGTCCTCCCCTGTCCTGGTGCCTGAGGAGGGAATTACCAGGAGCCATAGAAGCCTGTTTAATGACCACTAGGAAGTGCAACTCGCGAGTCCGAGTTGCACATTGGCACACACCAGTAAGGTATCATGCGACTTAGAATGCAGCACGAAGAGTTGGGGCTAAGTACAAGGTGCTGATGTGCCCATGATCAATAAATGGTATGAAATGACCGCGCCTGTACGTGTGGCGTCGCGGTGCGCGTGCCACGAGCAGCAGACGGCTTCGTGCTATTGAGCTATGCCGTCAATTGCGAAGCGCTCTATCTGCGGGTCGAATGACGACCGAAAAAAGTTACTCGCGTCACAAACAAATTACGTGATCAAGTGACCTATTTGATCACGTAAGGTCACGTTACCACGTAACTTAACATAAAAAACTTACATTATCACGTAGCTTAACGGATAACGTAGCTTACGCTAGCTACAGTGAACCGTAGCAGCATGCTGCGGACAAGCGTCGTCTGCCTTTCTGTATGGGGTTTTGGCGCCCCTAGTAGCAAATCTGTGAAGTAAGCGCGACGACGACAACAAAACCATTGGGCAGGCATTTTCAGTATAAAGGAGGCTATGGTACTACATAGTAGTATATTAGAAAATATTAAAAATATCTCAAAATTAAAAAAGAAAAAGTTATTACTAGATATAAGGGTCAAATTGAATATGCAAGTTGGTACTCGAAAGTTTTGAATCTTTGTGCATGTCTACAAGCAAATGGAGTCGTCGTGCCATTCCAGGAGTATACCACTGAAAGTGTGCAGGGCCAGGGCACTAAGAGTTTGTAACAACATTTAATATTACAACTAGTATTACAACACAATTCTAAGCCCTAGAGATGTGAGCAAGGTGTGCTAACTGTCCCGCAGGCATCGTGACGGGCAGTCACTCCCCTAGTGCTGGAGTTGGCAGTAGAATTACTCTCAACTAGAGCCACCAAACGAGCTATCCTTCAAAGTAACAAGACTTCAGCCATAGATGGATGGATGATAATGGCTGTACTTTTTGTAACGGGCGGTAGCTCGCGCCACCTAGCCTAAAGACAATAACAACCCAGGCGAAAATCAGTCCGCTTCCAGCTGGATTATGGAACTGGTCCCAGCTGGAAATGAGGCGGTTCAGCTGGAATCCAGCTGGACTGCCTCATTTCCAGTTTTATAATCCAGCTGGGAGTGGACTGATTTTTGCCTGGGAATGATTTCCTTTTCCCCCTTTCAAGCCAATGTGTTTCTCTAACTATTACCAGGTCATCTTGGGGCTTAAAACATGGTTGCCAGTTGTCCAAAGCATTATTTCAAATCGGCAGAAACACGTTTCCATACTCCAGGTGTTAAGGGGGGGGTACGGCCACGAAATTCCATTTTTTTCTGAAAAAAATGCATTTTCAAAAAATATTATATTTGGGTTCACTATGTTCTGAAGCATAGTTTCAGAAAGTTTTATTTATAAATGCGCAGTATTTATTTCGCAAAAAATTATTTTCGGCAAGCTCGCGGCCGCGCGCGGCGACCCGCCGAGCAAGCAGACGGCGAAGTTCGGCATTTTCAAATTAGGCCTACTCCGCGCTCGTTCGACGCAGCCGAGATATCTTACCCTCGTTGGAAGCGCCGTTTCTTCTAGTTTCTGCCCATAGAAGCTTGCTACGTTTGAGTCTATCTGTGTCCCGGGAGAACCCCGTACATACAAGCAGAAAAAACGTGGGAACTATGATACCAGCAATCCCATTGGTTGTGACCCGAAACAGGGCTCACGATTGGCCGCCTGCGCGCGCTATCGGCAGCTTCTTTCGCTTCTGATCGTATCGCTTCTGATCGTATCGCTAGTTTGCCGCTGTTTAGATTCGTTTTCTCTCTTTGTTCCCGGTAGTTTTTCTGCCGAGAAATGCCTGCTTCCAAAGTTAGCACTCGCAGTAGCTTTGGCCGGCGTTCTCAACGGCGGAAACAAAGGGCCGGCGGGCCGGCACCATCGTCGCCGTCTCCGCCACCGTCGTCACGATCTCCAAGCTCAACTGGTGCTTGGCGGACAACGGAGCCTACAGCTTCATCTCCGAATCGGATGTGCTGACCACGTTCGAGAGGAAGCTCAGCCTGCGCGATTTCGACGCGGGGATTACGGACGACCCGGAGCTGACAGACGCTCCCGTTGAAAAGCCCCTGAACGGCTCCTCAATGTGTCCGCCATGCAGACTCTTGTTGCGATTTTACTCTGCCTCAAGTGCCCCGGAAAACTACTGAGCTTGCAAGAAGTTGACATCAACCTTTAGTTCGTTGTTAGCTGCTCGACTTGCGGAGACATCGTCGCGACACCGCACTCACCATCAATTGGCAAGTTTCGAGAGAACGAACTCGCGGTACGTCTAGGCGTCGTTGGAAGAGACTGTGGCATCACTTTGACCAAGCTCACGAATCTCTTCGGGGGCCTCAACGCACTGCCCTCCTCATGCTCATGTAGTTGAAGGTGCCACCAATGACTCGGGTAAATTTCGAGTTTCTGGCATCGTCCGAAAATTTAAAAAAAACAAGTTGAAACTTCAAACGCATTTTTCTCAGTTTCACTTTTTGGCAGGAATTCTTGTTTTAGGAAAGCTATCATTTGACATTCTGAATACAGAGGGACATCATTCAAGGTTATCTGGGACTGAAATTTTCTGGGGAACAAGATAGACTACTTCACAGTTCAAAAAATCTACTCCTTCATGAAAAAAAAAAAATGTTTTTTTTAAACAAAAATTTTACATTTTCTTTTTAAATTTTGGGATGTTCTTATTTTTGTTATAATTGAATATTTTGCAATTTATTTTTTATCTAGGTTGCACTGTGGGTATTGTTCTTCACATTAAAGCAAAAAGTTTGCCACCAGCTAATTTTATTTTTCTACGATAGACTTCCTAATGAAGTGTCCTTTTTCTGAAGTGCGAGAACCGTAGCATGCTGTAAAGTTGACCAATAATGCTAAAACTTGGCAGATTATCCTTCCTCATAGTGCTGAAATAACCCTCAAAATTTGAACCAAATTGGGTGAAGGGTTCAAAAGTTGACCCTCCCAGGCCATATCCCCCCTTAAAACAACCTGCAGCGGAGCAAAACAATGTCACCCGAGCTTCCCGACAGAGTGTGTAAAGCTCGTGAAGTCTCGTTTCTGAATCGTGAAGGTGGACAATTGCGCCCGCTCTGCACCAAACACCAAAATGACGGCACCCACGTGAAGACGCTCCAAGCGTAGCGTATTTAGTGGCTCTACTCCAAACGACGAAACAGAGAAGAGACATTGTGTAACCTCTTGGGAGCGCGTGCCAAAGGGGTGGCACCAACACTCACCGGACATCCCTTCGTCCGAGGTGGCCGGCATGGAGGACGTGTGCGATCTCTCCGACTGCGACAGCTTGTTGGGAGACTCGCTGATGGAGGTCTGCTGGAGCAAAGCCACGCTCGAGTCAGTGCATAGGGAATGCTCTAGTGCTATCCCTGCTTCCTTCTCCCACTATACAGCCCACCCGAAAAAAAAAATTCCTGGCTACGCTCCGAGCAACGATTCGTTGTGTGAATAAAAACACTATTAGTGGAATACCTTTCTTTTATTTTTATTTTTTTTTTTTATCTGGGGGTGTTTTCCGGTACACAAAGTTTTGGTTTTGGACGAAAAATCCGCATTTATCGGTACTTAGTCGAGGAAAATAGGATATGGAGATAGAATTCCCCAAACACGTGACTGGAATACTTGCAAAATGCCCCCGTACCTGGAGGGAAACGAGGCGATTTGTTCCAAAGAAGCAGCCCAGCAGACAGCTCAATTCGAAATGTTATGCTTTTCTCTTGATTTTGATAAAACGGGCATGGGCGTTTATTTTCCGGAGTTTATCAGTTTTATCGAAAACAAAGAACACTAACTATAAATGACTCGTTTAGAAACAAACAACAGCGACTTCAAAATGTGACTTCTGCTAAGCGTAAAATGCAGTCACGAATATGAAGTCAGCACCGCACAACAACACCGTCGGGTTCACCTTTTCCGTACGCTCATAGTCACAGTTCATTTGTTTGACCCAGAGCATGGAGCCAATGTTCTACGATTTCCGAACAAATTGCTGTGCCAGACGCAATTTGAGTTTGGTGCCCCTAATGGTGCTTCGGGTTTCAGAGAGTCGCGCGAGCCCAACGGATGTACCGTATTTTGCGGGCCTTAGTACGCAGACCATACACGTTTAAAAGTTGAGATACGTGGACTATCTCTTTCTTTTTAGACACCAAACTATATACAAGGATTTGTTCTTCGAGATCATTCATTACAACAAAACGTCATGGATTTTGTGATTGACAGCTTATGTTAATGATTTCTGTACGTTACAAGCTTTTTCTAATGCTAATAATGTAGGCATTCTTAAAGATGCGCCGTGTATGAGAATTTTCTCGGATAGCCCGCACCAGCTACGGATTCTAAGAGTAAACTTTTTTCAGCCAAAACTTGTCTTTGCAGACTATAAGCCAAGTGCACGCTATACAGTCAAACTCATTTATAACGAACAGCAGGAAACGCTACGATCAGTTCGATATAGCAAAAACCATTTACAACGAACTTCCACGATGCGTTCGTTGTAAGGTGAGAGCTTATCTTTCTTTCTCATCTCTTTGCTTCTGCCTTGTAACAACGCACTGAAGAGATTTTTTTTTTCCATGCAACAAAATTTTTTTTTGCTTATCTTTTCTCTGAATCACTTCAGTGGACAACCGACAACTTCTGAATCGCTTCTCTTCGCTCAATTTTGTTCGCAACTTGAGCTTTTGGAATTTTCTTTCTTTCCTACTTTTTAATGGGGGGAGAAGGGACAGGCTAGGAAGATGGTTGTTTGCACGTTTTTGGAAGCCTTCCCAAGGGAAAAAAAGTACTTTTTAGACCTATTTTTATTTAAGTCTTCCGGATTTTGATATCGACAATTATTCGCTGTTTGTGGGTTCGTTCTACACGGGTTTCACTGTAGCCGGGAAAATACGGTAAGTGCGCCAGGCTGTCCATACGAGACACCACGTCATTACTAACTAAGCTGTAACTAATACGGAAGTAACTCGATTCTTTAAAACTCACGCATACTGTGCCAAATATTTTTCAGTTAGTCTTATAAAAATGCATACTGGCAACACTGCCTGGAAGGCATTTGGCAGAATAGAAAAGGACCTTTTGCTTTGCACAGTTTGCAGCTCAGTAATGGAGGCACAATTCTTTGGTAAAACTGACCATATGGCCTCTTCTGCTTGCAGACCTCAAGAGATGCCAAGAGGGACAATCAGCTATACTGGCCATTGGTATCCTTACACAATTCTAAGGGATGACTCTCAAAGGACAGTAGCTATATGCTACATACATAAGCTTTTTATAAGTGGTGCATGTGCGAATTGTTCCATCATATAACAATGCACTTCAACAGGCTTTTTACAAGAGTGCTCGCAGGCACAGCCATGACACCCCACAATTTCTAAGTGAGGAGTGGTTCAGTAAACCTTGTAAAGTGCCTCCCATAAGAGCATCGGTGTATGTGTATGCTCTTACTACACACTGCCTCTCACAGTTCTATGTGCAGTGCAATCAGAAGCAAAGGCACAACAGCATAGCTCTGAAAGATGCTCGTTTGTGCGAGCAGTCGCATGTGTCCGTCACGTGCCTGTGGAGGTACTCCCCCCGACGCTCCACTTAACTCGCGAGATTGACTACAGGGGTTAGAGAAGCTACCCTCGCAAAAATTCCTCTTACCTTAAAGGTTTCCATGTCTGGTATGCCTAGGGTTTCGTGTTTTGGTAAGTACCAAGAAGCACCAAATATTAAACCCCGAGCTGGTTTTATCAAAATCGAGAAAAACCGAAAAAACTTGAATTGGACCCGTCCTCAAATAAAAAAAAAAAATGAGAAAACCTGAGCTTTACAGGAAGAATACTTTTAAATAGAGTATTCTTTTGTGCTAACTTATTCGGGGTAGTGGTTAACTTATCTCCGATTAGTTAAGCACTACCAGGTGGACGATAGTGATGGACCGGATGTGCAAGATGTCACGTGACAAAAGCTTTTTTTTTTTGTTTACTCGCAATATGCTCGCTCCTCCACTTTCTACGATAGTGCACATGATCCAGTAAAGATTATTATTATTATTAGCCACACATACTGCAGATTTATTGCAGTTATATTGAAAATTGTCAAAGATATGCGCAGGCTGGACTTGTTCCTGGCTGGGTATTAAGCCAACACACTAACTGCATCTGCCAATTCGGTTCTTTGAATGCAGTTTAAGGAAAGCTTCAATGTCTTCTCAGCTGGTGAGAGACTTAGTAGTTGTTGTTTGCTATGTCTTCTACGGGTGGCTTCATTTGAATTTGAACGAGCTTGTTGGGTGGGACCTGTATAGATTGGTTTGAGAGGAATGCAGCCAGGCTGTTGTAGACTTTCAACCAAAAAACACTGATATACATCCGTTGGTGTCAAAAATACAAAAAATTGACTCAAACCGTAAAACACCATTTCTAAAAATTTCTGCACCTTAGTTTTTTTCTGAAATTTTTTTCCACTGATTAATGTTTGAAAAATAAATCAACATTGAAAAACATCAACCGACTTCCCTAATAAATAAAATAGAAAAATCTATGGCATAAATATATCTGATAACATGCTCCCTTAGATGAATTAAACTGCTTTCGAAAACAAAATGAGAAGTAGCAGCTTGAGCAAGTGCCTTGATATAGGGTACATCACAAAAATTAATTTTCATGGAATGTTTTTATTTTTTTTATTTACATTATGAGACACAGTTTGCAAAACCGAAACTAACTTCTATTTCGAAGTGGATGTCTCAAAACAGAAGTTAGTTTTGGTTTCGCTCCAAAACTCAAAATCTGCCTCACGGCCTCGATCTGGGGCTAAAAAGTTCTTTTACGAGAAAATTAATCTTGCAACAATGAAAAGTGTATGTAGCACGGACCATGACACACTACGTTTAGAGCACAAAGCTATTGGCCCCACTTCAGTTCCACCTTTATTTTTAACAGAATCACAAACTCACTGCCTAGAGCCACTTTGTCTCATATTCAGACTGCTACAGCAGCTGTGACATAAAGCAACTATCTGTGCGTGGCCATAAATATAATTTATACGGTGGTAAACTGCTCATGTTGGCATTTACTAAAAACGAGTGTCTTGCCCCAAATTCGTCAAAAGTATAAAATTATATTAATGTTTGAAATCAGTTCATTCAGAAGTATTGTTTCGCTAATGTTCTGAGATTCAAGGCGAACTCACAGAAACTTAGTGCATCATTTTTGAACTCAGTCATATTCCGTGTATATTGCAAGAATTATGAAAAGCCTAGAAAAGAGGACACCTGATGATAAAGCAGTTTTCTGAAATATTTGATACTGCTAAAGGCCTCTAGCAATGATGTGGTGAAGCCAATGTGCCAGAGCTAGAGGTTTAAAAGCCTAATGAACTGGATGTTCCGAGATTACAGCAAAATATCCAATCAACTAATATTTACATTAAGTTGTTCTCAAAGCTATAAACCTTTACAGCGCGTATCACCAAAGTGAAAAATGCAGAGTCAGTGGGTCACAGGACAGGGTTGGTGTGCATGCTCAGAATGCATTGCACAGTCCAGTAGACAAAGATAGGCGATTATTGAAACGGTCTACGTGGGCTATCAGTAAAAATACTTTAAAAAATAAAAAATTATCTCGGAAATTTTTTTTTTTTTTTGCACTAATTTGGGGCAAGATGTTTTTTTGGAAAGAATGCAGCAAATGTAGCTTTCTTCTTTAGCTTCTGTTAAGTTTGTTGTTGCAGTATGAACCTGATGCAAAACTATTCTGAGTTGCAAATTTGTAATAAGTAAAAAAAATACCTAAAAGTGATAGTAAAGAGCTTCCCTGGATTAAAAATAGCTTGTACCTACTACCTAGGCACCTAAAAAAAAAAGAGGCGCAACTTAACTAGGAAAAGCAGCATGATTTCATAATAAAAATCAAATTGCAAATTCAACCCTCTTCCAACACTTATCTTTCTAGATATTTTTCCCCTCCAATTGCTTAACTCTAGATTTCTGAAAAGCAGTCTAGCTCATCTCAGGGACCGAGCAACCACACACAAGCAAATGTAAGACCCCACCAATCAAGCTTATTTAAGCACAAATGAAACCACGCTACCATATTTATTTAAATACTTTGCATATTGTTTAGAAGCAAGGTCCACACACCTACCTTCCTAGAGAGTACAGAATTAGTCGGTCATTTAAGTCTATCAAAGTAGCCTAGCGAATGATGACACAGAAATAATACCTCTCATGCAAAGAGGCTACATGTACTAATACACTGACTGTGATGTTTCATATGCCCAGAACAGACGTTTTTCAGAACAAAGCACTGTTCAATCTTCATCCGTTGCGCTGTTTCTATCGATCACAATAAATGGCAATGCAGCAAAGTCGTAGGTGCGGCGTGGCGGCCTCATTCAGAAATGATGCGCAAAGTATCTGGGTAAGAACAATATTAGCTAAATCTACGGAAAAACAAAAGTTACCACGAAACAGGTGTCGACAGCAATAAGTTCGTCGAACAACATTTCATCGACAGATCGTTTCGTCGACATGCGGACGTTTCATCGACACGCCTTCCAACAATTTAATTAAATACAACTCCGCAGTTTTCGCAACAAACTTTTTGCATCTTGCCCGGTTCACGGGGGGAAAACGAGGAGGGGGGGAGGACCAAGGTCGAGGTAAACACACCCGAGTGAGTCCAGCGTTAACCCTGCCTTCCAGATTTAGTTATACACTCAGCAAAAAAAAAAAAAAAATACATTACATGGTTGGCGAACTGTGGCAGAAGCAGACGTCCATGAACCACCACAATGTTGACGAAACGTGTCGACAAAATATGTCGACGAAATGTGCGTCCACGAAACGTGTGTCCACGAAAAGCGTTTCCACGAAACAATACGGACCCACGAGTGTCGTGTGTGAGACGTCCCGGCCGAGCGTGATGCACAACAATGAGCAGTGATAGAAGAGAGGATAAAAAGGGGATATGCACCTGGTTATAAATCTCTTGGGTGAGGGATATTCCTTGCTGGAGTGGACAAAACAGAAAAAAAACAGAGGGAGAGAAGGCATGAGGAACCACACCGGAGAAAAACCAGTCTGACGGCGTCTGCAAGGAGGGCATTGTGCAGTGAGACGCGCGGACAGGCAGCGAGGGTGCGTGCGTGGAACGAGACTCCGACCAGCGTGTACGGCGTCCCGCGCCGTTAGTGCATCCAAAGTGGTCCCTGAGTGGCGTTAGATCGCATCGCGGGGCCCAGTGCGTCACGCACCGCGGATGTCGCGGTCCTGGTGGTTAGTCACAAGCTCCGTTGAGAAAGGCGAGCAAACGCGAGTGTCGCCGTCATCGCGGCGTCCCGACTCCCGGCAGCCGAAGCTACCGCAAGCTGTCTCCCTATGGAGTGACCTAGAGCAGAACGGGCATTCGCTGCATTCAATCACGACGCTGCGCTACTGCCAGAATCATGGCAGGCAACGACACGATCAGAATGTGACTTTACCGGGCAAATATCGAGGGACCACTTTTGAGGACGCAGTAGTCGGAGACACGTTCCAGACACCATGGCAAGGGGAGTGTTGTGAGCACTCCTTCGGGCACTCGTTGGGAGGTTCGGCCTGATTCCGAAAAGCGGAGGTGATCGAGTGGCGCGAGGACCGCTTGTAAAGCCGGGAGCAAGACAATAGCACACATCTACACAAGCGAGCTTCCAGCGGCGGACGGATACATCCATGCATGAGGGAAAGCAAAAACACGGGACAAGTGAGACAAAGAATTGCCCTAATGTGCTCGGCGATATGACCAGGAGACGAAAAGCTGCTTTGGCTCAAGGACCGTTTTCAGCCTCTGGTGGCACCCATACTCGGTGTCAACCATTTCGTGCTATGTTGTCAAACCTACAGTGCCTCGGCTCCCAGCAATGCAGCGAGAGCACGTAGCCTCGTCTCGACTCATTCGCACGGGCTCTCGTGCGAAGGGGACACTCAACGAAGCCACATGCTCGTGCAAGTAAGCGCGGGGGCGGCACTGCGTAGATTATGCTTGTCTTTACAACAGGGAGCAAAAAAGTTGATGCCTAGTATTTAAGATAAAACCATGCCTTCCTGACGTTGACCCCATTCAAAAATTTTGTTGAGGTAGATATGCCTGCGAATGAAAGGTTCGTTGCAATTTGCGTCTATTCTTAATACGAAGCAGCTAAAATCATCCAAAGCAAAGTGCAGTCAGCTCCATTTCACTTCTCAGTGGAGGCACTCCGAATTTCAAGCTATACTTCACGTTCCAGATTCCATCAAACGAAGAACAAAAACACGCTTGTCGTTTGCCACGAGCCTCGACGCTATCTTTGAGCCTAGTGCCTTACCATCCCCTGGTTTGTGGAAGTACTGTGCCATCCAAAAATCACATGTCAGTGTCACACTAGGGGGGGGGGGCCAGCAGCGACAAAGCTGGCTAACTTCGGCTTCGAGTGTTGCCGGGACCAAAGCAACGAGGCCATGCATGGGGGGGGTAGGCGACATGGGAGAGACAACACGAGCAACAAGGAGATGAACACCCAGTGCCTTTTCAGAGACACTGCCCAGCAAATGCTGAGCTACCCCGTAAGGCAGAGCTGCCTGCTCCCAAGAAAGAAAGAAAACAAGTCCCGAGAAAACCCTGTCATTCTTGTGCACATCTCCCGGATCTAGAGCCAAGCTCTAGCAGCTAGTCTACTACAGGGACTGGCAAGCACTGCGCTGGCAAGCACTCTACCAGCAAGCACCGTGCTGGTACGGCGCGTGAGAAAGTGTCTTCGATTGGTGCGTTTACCGTACTACTCCGCCCATGCATCGAAAGTGGCCCCAAAGTGGCAATGCATTGCGTCACGGGAGCCAGCGTGTCGTGCCGTTGGATGTTGCAATCCTGACTCTTGGTTGCAGAAATGCCGGCAAAAAAGGCAAGTGGATGCAAGGGCAGCCATTGCCATGGCGTTCCGACATGCGTCTGCTTTTGTTTCCGTCGACTGCCCGGCTGCAGGGCAACCCACAGCAGAACAAATGACTGCCGCACTCATCTCTGTGCTGCTGCAGTCCCGCCAGGATCGTAAATGGCAGCAGCACGACATTTTTATGACGTCATTCGGTGGAAATCGAGGGACCACTTTTGAGGACGAAGTAAATGCACCAGTCGGACACACGCTCCAGACGCCATAGTGCCGGCAAGCACCGTGCTGGCGTATGGACAGAGTAAGACGACATGCACGTCTTGCCCCCTCCCCCAGGGCCTGCCAACGACGATGCACTCTTCCGAGACCCCAACACAGGATGCAACCGACCGTAGAGGACACGCAAGAATCCAGGGCACCCGCCTCACCGCATGCACCCCCCCCCCTGACACGGTTGGCGAGGGAGCCAACGGTACATGCCGACACCAGTGACCGCACCCCAGGGTTGCCACCACCGTGACCAATTTCATACATCAAGCCGCATTTCGAGTAGTGGTCTAAAGCTCCTCCAAACAGAAGATTTGTGACCTTACGAGGACATCCTTTTCAAGCCCAAATGAGGGATTGGCTTTCCCTGCAAAGGGGAACGAATGCACCCTTGTAGACCCCTCAAAGATTAGTGTCCAAGTGCCGTCTGACGGTGCTTCTACCAAGAGTTCAAAGGGTAAATCCCTTAGCGAGCGACAGAGTTCTTTTAACGTAATGCGGCAGAAATTGGTGCTATACCTCTACTTCTGCACCTTTTCCCTGTAGTGTAAAATGTAAAGAGTGTCAACAATCAATAAAGTGCTGCTGGAAAAAATCCAACAGGACGGACCTCTTTTGGAGACGGTCATCAGAGGATGTGAGCTTGACCCACTTTGCCCTTTGTGGTAAACGGGTGCTGAACATGTGGATCAAACATACAATATTGTTCACCAGGACCTAGGTGGGGTACGAAAGAGCATCTCCTCAAGCGACAAAGTAGATTCCCCGGAGATAAGGTTGTGTCGCCGTCCTGCCAGCACAATGTTCTCGTGTGTATAAAGTTGGTGTCAGACTCAGTTTTTGACGGAGGGTTCCGTCACACTGTTTGGCCATATTCGACGACCATGAAAATCAAACGAATCAACCACTTGAAATGCTAGTTATTGTAAAAACATCTCCGTAGGATCAATTTGCAAACTAGTTTCATTGGCACGACGGTTGGTCCGCTTAGGTGGCAATCTTGTCTGTCCAACAAATATCGAGGGTTGATACTGCAAATATTTTTTTGCATAGCGTACATTTCTTTTTTGCATCTTCGTTGTCTCAAACCATTCTTTTTGTAGCAACAGTCAACACCGACCTCTACAACTCTGAAGAAAACGAGAGTAATCTCCCGAAAGCATGCCATGTTGGCAAATGTGAAGCATATTCACAGAAGGCACAAAGTATGCAGCTCGCTCTTGCAGATTTAATTCACTCACACCTTGTAATGCAACAATGCAGTGGTGAATGGCCAGTGGAACGCACGCCGGAATAACCGTCTGGTTCGAGATGAATGCCTTTACCCCTAAATTCCTGCTCATCACACATCCCAGACTTTGCTCAAAATGTCGACAACCTTCGAAGTGAGATCGGTCTTCAGAGGTGGCAGACACTACTACTCAGCTTGTCAGGACATGTTGTGCACCACCATTATTCCATTAATTCTTGATTAACTATTCAGAGCTAGATAACCTGACAAAAGTGAAAAAGAACTTCCAAGAATCTTTCATTAAGAAAAAGCTACATATCACATGATACAGCATTTCAGACTGGGAACTTGAATACATTACAGCCTTTGCTCCATAGATTAAAAGAAAGAATTAATTTCCTGGCTTTACCAGTGTTGGGAATAGTGGCCGCTTGACTTTCTCCAATATTCGCCGCCATTTCTGAAAATAACTGAGGCAGCCGCGGTGTACTAACTACTTCACTTGAAGTACATAACCTCCCATTTACTTTGTACTTCAAGTACAGTTTAGATGTCCATTACCCGATACTAGGCCCTACACCTAGCTTACGGCAATAACATTAAGAATGGGTGGCCTCCCCGACTTAGGGCTAATCCACACACTTGCATTTGGTTGCAACCGAGAGTGTTGAGCGGCCTTGCGGTTCCTTACGACAAGAGGACAAACTGGTGCCATCAATCGAGTAGCCCTGCAACAGATTTGCATATATATATATTTTATTAAGAATCCTTCTTTCAACTTGAGTTTGAAAAGCTGATGACTATGTTATAAATGGCCATTTCTCATAAATAGCACATACATTTGATCTCGCAAATGCTGCAAAACCTTTGCTCAAGTTGAATGCAGTTCCAGGTCTACCTTATAGATGGCACCAACGAGTCAATGTGTTTTCTCGTCCTAAGCAATTACGGGAGAATGGGACGCATTTGAGTGCACTCTAACGCAGATATGTGAACCAATACATAGTTTCTCCCAACTGGAGCACTTATCAAACATGCAGTCGTGGAAGCATTCGGCGGCCCTAACTTTAGGAACTTGTTTCAAACTTTGCGTCTGGCATTTCCCAAAAATTGAGTCGGTGGCAGTGCATCGAGGGGTGGCAACCCTGGAGCGGGATGGGTGTCTTCCTCCCGTAAGCCCACCTTCTTTTTGCGTTTGGTCAGCTTGTCGCCGGAGATGCCCATGGCGCTCAGGATTTCCGCCATCTGCTTGGGATTGATGCCGCAGTTGTTGGCCACATTCTTTTGGCAACGCTTGTGGACGTTCATGCTGCACGCTGCAAGCAAGCGCCATGCAAAGAAGAGTCACACAAGGAAGAGTCACGCAAGGAAGTGCCTCGTGAAGAAGAGTCATGTGAGGAAGTCACGAAACGAAAAGTCACGCGAGGCACTGGAACACCATTCTCCGACACTAACGAACATTACCATTTTTCTGTCAGAATAAACTACCGCAAAATACCGAGCAAGAGCCCACCCAAAAAATTGGAGACAATAACGAAAAGTTTAGTTCCAAGAGCAAAAAAGCGGAAGAGGCACAAAGTAGAGTGATTCTTGCTTGGCCCGAAAAAATGGTACAGGAGCGGCTTAGAATCTGGCCAAACCCCTAGTGTTTGAAGCAGCCGTGCCACTCTCGTCAAGGCCGCTGCACGTCGGCGCTCTGGCATCATGCTTTACCGCTTCAAACATACGCACGTGCATAAAACTTCGCCTTTTTGCACCAGAGTGCTCGGAGAAGCAGCAGACGCTGAGGAGCACCTCGATTAGCTCGGTTCGATCAGAAGTTTGCTGGGGGTGGGTGTTTGATGTGTCCCCTGTCCACAGTATACCAAATGTTTGAAATGTAGGGGCTGGGAGGTTATTCTGAAATGGGTGCAAGCTAGGTATTTTACGGTAAACAAACCGTTTGCAGCAAAAGGTGGTTTTATGCTAACAATAGTCCGTTTCACCTTACGATGTACCACAGCAGGTGCTACGACCCATTCCAACCAATCCAATGCTGTGCGAGGGCGCAATGACGCACGAGGCGTGTAATCACGTAATAAGCTCTCGGCACTGGATTGGCGGGGCGGCCCGTAGAGACCGCTGTGGTCCAAGTGAAACAAATTATAGTAGAATGGAAAACAATTGAATTCTTAGTAGAGCACCAAACGATATAATTAAAATTCGAATTAAACCTTCGCAGCCCATTAGTGCTACAGTCGCTAATTAAAATACTGCGAGAATTCTCAGAGTATTTTAAGAAGACCACACAAAGAATCATTAAATTTTAAGCGAGGTTTTTCAATGTGAAAGTGCTAGTCCACTAGTACAACAAAGTACTACTGATAAAGCAAAATCCTTTTTACGGGACTTCTGGCCCTTTATAATGTGTAATCCCGTGGTCTCATGTTGGAACTGAAGGCTACAAATGGCAAGCTTTCATTCTGACGATTTTAAGCCTAATCAAATGTGATGGGAACCCAATATCAAGTAGGGTGAGTATTTGACATAGTCTACTATATTGATTTTATGTAAGTTAACCAAACATTTCCCTCAACCAGTGTTTCTCAAACGAAGATATGCGGACTGTTTGAGGTCCACACTTGCTCGTCAGTCAAGCTAGGCAATAAACCTTTCAACAGAACAAACCCATTTCACTCTAGCAATTACATATTTACTCAAACATACGTCAACATATTCTTTTCTGCACTGTTCCTTAAAATTAGGAGTAGACTTACGATCGTAACAAAAGAAGATCGACGTAGCTGTAACAATGAGCGAGATTTCTGACCCCATAGAGCCAACCGAGCTGCTCCTTCTCCTCAGCACACCAGAGAGAAGACGTTAAAGAAAATTCAAGCACTCCTACCACGAGCACTGATTGTTATTACCATTCCTTCATGGTCCCTGCCCCCAAGTAAAGCATTCTTCCAGTTTAAGTGCTATTCGAGCAGATCTGAGCCACTTGTTGATACGTAACTACGAGCCAAGCGCTTCCCGGTATGCACATTATTGTTTTACAAGGTCTGAAGACTTCTGCACTGCTTTAATAAATCAATGCTGAGACCGGGAAGGGCTCCTTGGCTGCCATTCAAGGTAGACAGGGTTTTCTCGAGATCAAAGTCTCAGAACCACTGGTTCTCAAACTTTTCCATGAACAGGAGCGCATGGGACATGGCTGATTGTACAACAAATGCACCATTGCACGTTGATGTCATTGGGATGTGGAAGGATTTCATAAAACATCAAGAACATGACGCCAATGCTAGCCTTTCTGCGCCGCTGGCGCCAAAAGACGGCGATCTGACGGGCACGGCTCAGACCCACCTTCGCACTGGAGCCCCTGGCGGAAGAGGCCGTAAAGCATGGAGCCGCAGTGGTCGCAGAACGTGGGCCGCTTGTAGTTGTGCACCACAAACCGGTGAGGGATGTTGATGTTGAAGCGGCTTCCCGCCGCCAGCTGCCACGTGAGAGAACCGACACGCACCTCAGACGGCAGACACTTGCAGGTATGAGATGCATGTGGCTTCTAAAGCATGGAAGTTCCCCAAAGTACCCTCCGGGGGTTCCCTTGGGCTCCCAAATGAATCTGACTCTTCCTGCTTTTAGGCAAAGGATTTTTCCAGTTCAAGCACAATTTTACAGACCCGAGCCGTTCGGTGAGGCACGTTACAATGGGTCGGACACTCCCCAATTGGTATTGCATAATTAAATGTTTGGTCACCAAATTAAAGTACATGTTGTTAAAATTAGCACCTTGCTTTCAGTCTTGGGTAGTAACGCGTTACTAGTGACGCGTCACTGTAACTTCGTTACTTTTTCGGTAACTTGTAACTGTAATGAGTTACTTTTTAAAAATGTAACTTGTAACTGTACTTCTATTACTTTTTCTGAGGTAACGATGAAAGTAACGACGTTACTTTTGTCGTTACTTTTCAGTTCTTTGTGAATAATATATAACTAGCTATTCTTTGGACTTTCCAAATTGTCTGTTCCGACATGTCGAATGTCAGATGGCCTTGCACAAACTTGCGAATACGTTCTTTCTCGAGAGTCACTATCCGAATATAGGCACGTGCAGATGTGAAGAAAAAACAAAAAGAAGAATGTAGTTATCTTTACAGACTTGCTTGTACTTTGTGACTGAACACTTACATCTTAGTATATTGAAGCACAATCTCTGTTGCGGTTTTTCTTTTTTTCTGCGCACGCTTTTTAATCGGGTGAATCAACCGTGAAACAACGATACACACGGAGGGAACTTTGTATGTTTCGTATTTTGATTAGCGCCACTACTCCGCACTGCGCATGTTTCGTGTTTTGATTTACGCCACTACTCCGGCGTGGTTTCAACGGTGGAGGCAAAATTTACTGCTGTTTGCGCAGGGCTTGTTTCTGGTTTGCCGGGTACGCACTGAAATAGTATATCAAAGCCGTCCATGAACCCAGCGCAACCGTCAACGAGCCAGCAATCTGCTAGTGCTACCAAGGATAGGGATGCTGATGATAACAAAGAACTAGCATGGCCGGCGTGCAGAGAGTAGTTTTCTGTGGTGAAGGTGGTTGCTAACTATTTGACCGCAGTATGCAAACTTCGCAACAAGGAGTACTCCGACAACAAGTCTTCGTGTTCAAATCTGAGAAAACACATCCAGTTTAATGTGGTCTTTATTCTTTTCATAATATTGACTAATTTTCCAGCTAAATTTTAAGTTTGAATTTACCGCTATGGTGGAAGCCCGACTGATTCGTGTCTATTTTTTCTTTCAAACACTAGTCTTTCCTTAATTTTTGTGTTATAGAAAAGTAACTGAAAAGTAACGTCGTTACTTTTTGAAAGTAGCTGTAACTGTAATGAGTTACTCTTTTGTTGCGGTAACTGTAACGGTAACTTCACTACTTTTTTCTGAAAGTAACTGTAACTGTAACGAATTACTTTTTAAAAGTAACTTACCCATGACTGCTTGCTTTGCAGCATTGAAAGTTACTCTACTAACTCGATGACGATGATGATGATGATGATAATAATAATAATAATAATATTTAATGACTCTGGAGGTAGATTTTAGAAAAACCAGAAACACATGAAAAATGCAATGGTGCGTGAAGGTAACCTTCCGTGCTACAGGTGCAAGCCTGGCAGAGCAAAAATGAGGACAATATGAAATGCAAAACACCAAGCACATGATCCAAATCTTTCTAAATTTGACTGATTTAGTAGTTTTAGATGGTGACCATCGAGGTTCTGATTAGAAATATTTGATTCTAAAAAAAAGCTAGTAACACAATTCTAATTAAGAACTTAATGATCCAAACGCTATGTAGCTCAACAAATGGGCCCCTTGACAGTGACCAGTAAGGTACCTACCTACCTTATTTCTAGGCAATGCGAGGTATTTACGCGACAGTTTTAGCTGACGTGCAGTAAACACCTAATGTGCCACCCAGCATGCTCGAAAGCACTACGCTTCTTCTGAACATGGACATGCCCAGTGGAGTTACCTAGTGCCTCAAGTCGGCTTACAAATATGTGTTCAAGTGTGACCTTACAGCAGCCTGCGACTGCTTACGAGATAAAACACCGGAGCCACGTATTCAATAAGCCTGGCATGCTTCCGGTCTGCACAGGTTCTGCGCATCCCTCATCCACTGTATGCTCGAAATATGTCTGACAATGTTACAAGCGACCATTTCTCGCAGAGTACTTGACCTTGCAAATACTGCAAAACCTCCAATCTGGTCATATGAAGTTCCAGGGCTGCGTATGACCAGACTGAAGGTAGCGTCAGTGTGCCCATCTGTTCTCTAGTCGCGATTACGAGCGGTCCCAATAAACTCAAATGCACTCAAACGCAAACGTGTGAATGAATTAGACTTTAGGGTTTTAGCTTACCATATTTTCCAGACTACGATTCACAGATTTTGCGTGTCTAAAGGTTGAAATTTTACGCAAACTATTTACGGTTGCGGGCTACGCCTGGATTTGTGTTTTCTAGGTCGTTCACTATGACAAGAAGTGACACATTTTGTGAATGACAGAGTTGAAAATGCTCGCAGCATTTTAAATGCGTCTGCGTTAGCCGGCCATTCGTGACGAGTGCTCGGAAAGGGCCGTTTTGGAGAGGCGGGTCGCGACTCTGTGAACAATGTGGTACACGGGTGTAGTATACTGTATAATAGAATATTTCCTTTTGATAGAACAATAAATAAAAACACCCAAACATGGCGTTTGGGCTTCTTTGGCATGGCGTTACCACAGGCTACTGCGTTGTCACGTCAATGCTCCTGGCACATGCTGAAAAGCATGCTTGAAAAATTCAGTGCGAGCTCCTAGTTGCGATGGCGCACTGTACGGTAGCCCACGGTCAAGCTATGCTAAAACTGCCTATTAGTAACCATGGTGCAGGTTGATCGTGCGTTGTAATGCAGTAAAATCGTGACGGTCCACAGTGAGTTTTGAGCCTTCGACACAGTAACATAAACACTGCGAACGCTGCTTCTCCAGAGCTTGACAGTCACCCTGCGCAACCCCCATTTTAAAGCACTGGCGGCCAGGCACGGTGCAAACACTGCAACATTTTTATTACCTTCAAAAATATTTCGCCACATACAATGACGTGGCCGGCACCCAAAACGCGGCCGCCCTCCACAAAACTTTGCAAGTCCTGCGAGATTTCCATAACTTCTGAAAATCAATAAATTATTTTCCTAACGCACGTCAACATCTCCGACGCCTGCAATGTGCTCCTGCCTCGACTGCTTCGAATATGTAGCCAAATCAATTGCTTTAAGCGCATTGACCAGCGTCAGTGGGCGGGCACGCAGAAAATCCTGGAAGATCTATCCTTGTCTCTTCTGCCATCTACGTTGTCGTTGCGAGTAGTCTGGAAAACATGGTACTCTCCTAGATCTACCTTATTTTCCTTCCCTTCTACCCATCACTCGAGAAAAACAAGAAGATCAAAGCGATTTGGAGCAGAAGGCGCCACCCACCTCGTCGTTTGTGCTGTCCTTCATGCCGGGGCACTTGGTCACCACGAATTCGTGGCAGCGCTTGTGGACGACGCACGTGCATACTGAAAACACAACTCACTGTGATCCAAGCACGACACGCAAACGAGCAGAGCTCGTCTGCCTGTACGCAAAACTTGCCTTGACATTGGTACCCCTGTTTACCCAGGCCCCTGCAAGAAAAGAAAAAGAAGCTCTTCACTTATCATGAATTCACTTTGAAATTTTGCGAGCTAAAATGCACTACCAAAAGACACCTTTGATAAAAATTTGGGATTGCTGCGTGCAGGCAGCAATTTGTCTCACCGAGTTTAGAGTGAGCCTGGGGATTTAAGCCACTCTGTCTTTTTCTATTTATTTATTTACAAAACAACCTTCAGCGCCAGAGCATTATAGCCTTCCATTAACAAAAAATCTCGTATGCGGAGCATGAACAGGTAACAAATCAGTAAAGTTTGCTAATTAAATACAAAATGAAGCTAAAAAACAAGCGAGTTAAAAATCAGAATCACTTCCTGAAAGAAGTGATCCCATGTTAATTGTGCTTAGTAGTCTATATTATTATATTTATAATACTAACTGAGAGCCCTTTGACATGTTCAACATGTTCAAGCTTGTATAAGAGGTGGATAGGGTGCATTTACCTTTAAGCACTATTAAGGATAATACACTCAATGGCCAGCTTGAAAACTTAAAAAGGGTGATTATCAATCCACCTTTTTCCGAATTCCCAGCTTGAGAGTTTTTCGGTAGCAAGCACTGTGGGCGTGGCACGAGCCAGAACGAACATTCTTTCAAATGACGACAACATGTCCTGTTGTCCATTGAGGTACGGTGACCTAGACTGAACTCCGGGAAAATTACTTTTGTGCCCGTTGTGGCTTATGACGAGCTGGGACTGAGCAAGTTGGGTTGTGCTTGTGCACAGCACCAGCGGAACATTTAAAAAGAGAAAGACAATTGGAAACTGCAAGAAATTAGGCCAACGCTAGACTGACGACTCTATTGCGATTAACCTTTTGACGGTTGTTGCCGCACACGTACGGCGGTGATCACATATTTGAAAGTGCGCACCTAAATGCGAAACTGAGGGAGGTGTTGCTATTCGTCATGTTCTTTTTGGTGAACTATAAATGTTCTATGTATTCGCACATTGTTTGGCATTGCTGGGCTATTTATAGTTTTCAAATTAGACGCTTCGAGCACGTGATGCTCACTTCACCTACTGGTCGCTCTAGTGGTAGTGCCAATGGAAGCACTGGTTCTTCGAAAAAAATTGGGTTGTATGTGTGTTTATACAGCCCAGACCTTAGTCTGCCTCAATGGGCGACTTGTCTCTCAGCTGTAGCTGAGAAATTAAGCCAGTGCAGTAGAACCGCTAGCCTGGGGGTCTTTAACGTGCATCACGCAGTAGTGATACATGACCGCACGCTGGTACAATGCTCATCCAGATCGAAACTGGCAGGGGTAGGGATTGAACCCTCACTTACGACGCTTTTTGGGATTTAATTTAGAGAATGATAGCTCATCATCTGACGATAAATTTTTGCAAAGTACCTCCAATTAGGAATCTGAAGCCGCTACAATGTTGTAAAAGAAGGTGTGTCAAAATGAAACCGAATGGAAGCAAGGTGAAAACTTTTTGCCTTCAATATTTTCATTTTATGTTTCTAAACCTAGAAAGCTTGCAAGCACTGTACGTGCTCCCGCTAGATAATTAGGAAAAAAAAACCTGCGCATTGACCCTTTCTTTGTACTATTCCTTTCCAAACAAAACCGGACCACTGGGACGCATCTTTCAGGAAAAAAACACTCGACCGTCAAAAAGGTAATGACTTTCCTTTTCTCCCTCTACTATGTTTCCGCTACTCTCCGCTTTTGAATTTCTAAAGTTGAAAGCTTCTTCGACCCTGATGGAGTGTGGTCGGGGCAGGCTTACTGCATAGGCCGCTGGACGGTTCTACGAAAGGCACTTGACTCCACCCCTACATTCGAATCGAGATCTGGCCAGCCTGAAGTGCCGCACGCCTGCACTATGCACCACTTGCATTCTGCGCTCCCCGCCGTCCTCGGAGACGTCCTCGCCGCACCCGTCTGTTCACCCTCCCATCCCTGACAATTGGGCAGAGTCAGTTGCCCTACGCTGTGTTTTCTCGCAATTGAGGCAGTAGTGTGTTTGTTTTGTTTTCTCCTGCCCTGGGTGTCTGGCCAGCAGTCACACAAGCGTAAAGGCTCTCGTCTGTTTGGTTTAGCCTTGCAAGCCACCCGGGGTCATGCTACTTTGCAAATGATAATTATGATGACGACGATGGTGATGATAATGATTACTATTATTAGTAGTATTATTATTATTATTCGTTGCCCAGAAGCAATAGTCCCCCGCAGGAACATTTTTTTTCTCATGTAGCGCAAGGGATGGGACATAAACAGCCGTCAAGCTTATCGTCAATGGCCAGCGCTTTTCTCTACAAGGTCTTTTGTTTAGGCATTACAGACTGTTTAAAAAAAAAGCAGTCAAAGCTACACAAATGCAGTCTGTGCAGTTGAGTCATATGGCCAGGAGGACATAATATAGGAACCAAGTGTCATGATAAGTAAATTAATTATCTAATTAGTGAAAATAAGCGTGGTTCCAATTACAGACTTGCTGGGCGTCACCAAAAACAAGATCAGTCGAGTTTAGAAAGGCTTAGAGCGAATAGAAGCGCAGTAGTGAGCAAAAGTTACTACATGTGCAACACATGCAAGGCAGTAAGTATGAATACACTGTACTAGAATATGGGGTAGTGTTCGGATCGGAGCAGCTCGCATGAGGCGTGTGGTGTAGAATGCGATAGGTGTGACACCGAAACATCAGCAGCAGAGTCAGTATAATGGTGGCTGTGCACCGCATGCACGCGCACGTGCGACAGCATGTGCTGACTTTCCGCTGCCCTGTCGACTGCAGCGCCACGATTGCTGTTTGCATGCGCAGCCTCCCAAGCTCCCATTGCCGAGCCGTCCCAGTCCCAACACTACCCCGTATTCTAGTCCACTGTAGTGCAAAAACACGCCCGCACAGTTTTCCCGCCTCTTATCATTCGCAATTGCGCCTGTTATGCAAGTTGTAACTTTAGCGGACTACCATGCTTCCCACGTGCTCCACATCTTCCTCAAATTTAATGATACTGTCGAGACCGGTTATAACGAAGTCGATTATAACGAAATAGCAACTACAGCGAAGCGATCACAATTTCCCATTCCCTTTTGCACTTTGTTAACCGAAGTCGGTTATAACGAAACAGCGGATATATCGAAGTGATTTCCGATTCCCGTTGACTTCGCTATAACCGGTCTTGACAGTATAGTTTTCAATGACGCTCAGCAAGTTTCTAATTGGAACCGTATGTATATTTTCAATAATTAAAAAAGTTAATTAAAGGGACCATGAAATGATTTTTCAACTTGTTCCTCCTTAGCTTTGATCGTCAACTGAAAAGCGAAATGAGAAATCACGTGATTTCGACGTGCTTCAGCACCAGATGTGATGACTTCAAGCTTACACCGTGCTTTCTAAGCACACCGAGGAACTTGCTATTTGCAAATGTGATAATAAGTGCAATCACGGCACTCACTGGCTACAAACGCAAATTCAAATAATAATAGTAATAATAATAATACTAGCGATAATAATAATAATAGTAATAATAATAATAATAGTAATAATAATAATAATATTTGTCGAGGGATTGACTGTTGACGAGCGCAGACTATGAAGTGACGCTGTGTGCTTGTATCTAATGCGTGAGTTGGGTTCGGCTGATGCGCTTGGGCATTGCGGATGCATCACAGTGAAAAGGGAGAGAGCTTTCGAAGGAAAGGAAGTGCAGTGTCGTCGAGCAACAGGTAGCGCCAACTGGCGCAAAAAGAAAAATGGACCCGAAAGGCCGTGGGAAGCAAGATGGGACAGGGCCAGGGAAGCATTAATGGAGCTCACGAGTTGTGACAATAAAAGGGAATCGGGTTCTGGCAATAAAAGGGGTGACCTGCATTACAACGCCTCAACCGAGGCAGATGCTACAGGAGGCAAGAAATAGATATTTTCAAATGTTCCTACCGAAAAGCAGGCTTTTGGCTTTCGACCCTCGTTTACTAGTTTTCTTTTGGCACACTAAACGATATGCCATTAGTAAAATCTCAATTTATCCCAGCCCAAAACTCGTTTCATGGTTCTTTTAACACATTTTAGTGAATTATCCGACTTATCGTGACAGTTTTTCTGCGCTTTGTTATGTCCCCCTGGTAATATGACTCACTTGCACAGACCACATTTGTGTAGCTTTAACAGCTTTTTTTTCAAAACAAATCTGGAAAGCAAAAAAAAAGACACAGTGTATAGTATGTTCAGCTGGTTCCATCCCCCTTCTGGGTAATCTTTCACTCCAGTTTGTACAAAGAAGCAAGCTTCTCCTGTTTCCTTCCTAATGGCACCTTTTCTTTCCTTGAGTTTCATACCAAGAGAACCTCAAACCAAGTCTTCAGCAGGGGTCACCAGTTACACATTTTTGAAAAACCGGGGATGACGCTTGAAAAAGGGGACAAACACAAAATGTCTCAGATATAAACCAGCTGGCCTGTCTGCTCCTTCAAGGCACTCGTTCTTCAGAAAGAGGTGGATTGACGCCTGTTCAAACTATATGCACACTGCAAAGGTTTACCCTCAGAAAATGCTTTGCTCAAAATATTTTTGCTCAGACTGCTCAAAAAAAATTTTTCACAGGCTCGCAAGCCCATTTGTCATGTGGGATCGCTACAGGAATGTCTCAGGGTCGCGTGGACCTGGCCCATGATAAACATAACAGACTACAAAGAATGGCGGTTTGCTTTCTTTACAATAACTCTGGACACACTTCTACAACTGAATTTTTATTGAGAGCATACTTACTGCAGTGCCGCTATCTCAAAGGAATCGCCATTCTCAACTAAAGTTTTTGTACAAGTTAACTAATGGGCACCATAAAGTAGTGGCTGTTAATAAAGTAATAATAGCTAATCATTATTATTAAAGTAGTAGTGTGCATGAACCTCCAAAATAATTGCTTTTTCTTTATGATACCCCATCAAACAGACACACAAACTAAGAATACCTCCTTTTCACTCGCATAACCGTTTCAGATGTTTTTTTTTCCAAGAAAACAAAGGGATTAAAAAAACATTACTAATAACATGGTTTCACAGTCATTGTTGTTACTGTTTGCATTTCACCTCACAAAATCAATTCTTTTTTGACCAGGAGTTTGCAGGATTTTTTTTTTATTGCACAACTCGCTTCCATTTCTAGCATTTTGCAGACTTGTCATGTGACCGCCATAACTGGGACGCGCTCTCCTAGAATCCCACCTAGGGATTGCAGTGTTTTGTGTTTTCAAATATAAATAGAAAATTCAAGTATATCTCGGTCGTATCTGGTAAACTCCGAGACGCACAAAATGAGTTGCGAATAAGCCGGGCACATGCTGTGTGTGTGTTTGACATCAGATTCCCACGGTGTCACGTGATTCCATGGTGTGACACGACCGGTGTGTCAGGCAAGGTGTCGCTTTGAACGAAGAGGAGCCTCACCAGATGAACTCCCTGCAGTGGGAGCAGAAGGTGGGCTGCCTCAGGATGGTGGCCATGAACTTGTGACCGTTGACCTGGTGCACCCGGCGGCGCATGGCCCCGCGCCGCCGGTTGAGCCCCTGCCGCTGCTTGAACTCCCGCGGCTTCTCCACATTTTCCGCTGCAACGGGAACAGAGGCCGAGCTCGCCAAACCGTCCCAACGACACACGGAGCGTCCCTTCCTTCCCGGGGAGGCTCGAGGCAAGGCAAGACCCATCTCAAGCCCCTCCAGAGTCAAAAGCGCGAGTGGATTTAAGGAAAATGGAGAAGGGGGGGAAGCAGTCACCTTTCTTTTCCCCTCTAAGCAAGACCCATCTCAAGCCCCTCCAGAGTCAAAAGCGGGATTTAAGGAAAAGGGGAGGGGGGTTAGCGGTTGCCTTCCCCTCCTCCTTCCAGGCATCCTCCCCTTCCTCTCCCTTCAAGTTGCCCTCAAAAGGCTTAGAGGGCAGCGTCCGCTCCCCTCCCTCCAAGCCTCTTCAGGGCAACTTTATTTAACGAAAAGGAACAACATACACCAGCCTTTCTTAGGAAGAAATGTTTAGCTTACAATGAAATGGCAAACATTGGGTCCATAAAATATATCTGGGAAACACCTCGCTTGTGACGTCAAATCTCTCTGCAGAGCCCCCTCAGCCAAGTCCCCACGGTATCCCCCAAGCTCGACCCATAAGTACGACCAATGCTGGAAAGCGGCAGAACTTCTAGCCGAAAAATTCCTCCTTGCTCAAACCCTTTTTCTCTCACACGCACAGGAAAAGTGGTTCCGGTGCTCTTCGGTGTGACGGTGAACAGGGCGTGAAAGAGTATGGGCCGGCATCCTCACTCACGTTTGACCAAGACATGCGAGTTACCAAGTCGTCGCCGTTTCAAAAAGACAAGGACGGTTTCACACTAAACTTTCAATCGCATAGTATTGAGTCGTAATTAGGGTTTAGTGAATTTAGCGTTTATTTTTGTTCGAATTCAGGGGTGTTTTTTTCGGGGTTTATACTTTCCCACGGATGCAGCATTTTAATTTGGCGTTTATTTTTGGCATTGAACAAAACTTACGCGTTTGTCGGGGCTCGTGCCGAAGAAACAGACCACAGCCGTGGGATTCCCTAACCCCAAGGGACCGTGTACGTGAATGGAGCACGTAAAAAATGTCCCGGAACCGATAAGAGAAAGAAATGAGGCTAAGGGTGTGGTTCCCCAAGAAAGAAGCAATTCTGCAGACAGTTCAGTGTGGGCTGCATTCCAGGTGGATGCAAAATAAAGTTGTAGATAAAAATCTTCTTGTAAAGCATTTCTTTTTCTTGCTCAAGGATACCTTCAATTCTGAGGTTTTCAGTTTTCCCCAACCTCGATAAATCAGCAACCAGGGGGCTAGTCTTCGGAGTTTATTGGTATGCGCCCAAGCCACAGCCAAGGTTCTGCATGCTTTTAATTGCGTCACGAAAGAATGTCTTTCAATCACTTATCACGAAAAAGGGGTAACCTCTCTACGACAACAGTCGTAGGGAGGATAAGGCCCTAAAGCCCCAAGCTGACTGGCCTTTCTCTTGGACTCTTTGCTAGATGTTCATTGGCCTTTCTCCGGCTTCCTTTTGCCGAGGAATGAACTTATGCGCACTTTGACAACAGGAGCTTGAAGGTCAGTTTCTTTCTCAGTATATGCGCGCAGTGAGCGGGACGTGAAATCTCCTTGCTGATTAAGCCAACAAATATGCTTTGCTCGGGGTCTTTGCATACATCTGTTTGCACCACTGCCGCACCCTTTATTAACTATAATTTTTGCACTGCAAGCGCGATAGCAATACTACCTAGGCGAAAATTGCAAACTGGAATCAGTTGGGATCTCAACTGGTTTCGAATGATTGGTCCCAGCTGATTCCCAACTGGGAATCAGCTGGGATTAATAAGGGTCCAGTTGGGACCAGCTGAGGCGTCAAGTGGCTTGAACCATTTCCAATTTGGAGTCAGCTGGTCTGACCATGCCCAGTTGGGGAAAGAGCAGGGAGGTTGGAGGGATTCCCAGTTGGAGTTCCAATTGTTTTTCTATTTCCAGTTGAGATGGTGTGTTAATTCTGACAAGGGAGTGTATTGATCTTTGCTAATAAAAAAAAAACTATAAATGTCTTGGCCTACTCCATAAACTTTACCACTACCATCCCACTGTTCGAAGCTCATTCCTGCGCCCTCTCGCACGGTCGTCTGATCGCCTCAATAACTCCTACAATTTTCGACGTATATCGGGTTCCAGTAATGCCTTTAACAAATCATTTCTCCCACCCACAATTGTGGAATGGAACAATGTTCCAGAATCGCTCATTACAATAGCTGACCCTGTGGTTTTCAAAAGCTCCATCATGTTGTATTTTGCCACACCAAATTAGGTTTTTCTAGCTACGTTGCATGGGTGCGCGTTGCTAGGTATTTTTTATGTTGTTGTTCATTTCTTGTATAATTTCTTGTGTTGCCCCCTCCTTATGTAATGCCCTGCAAAGAGGACCCTTAAGGATTAATAAATGAAAGGAAATTGATAGATTTATACAAATAAACCTTTCATTACTATGCGCATTATTGTATTTATAAAAATAAATAAAAAAATTTTAACAAAAACTTTTATTTTATAAATTGCAAAATATATAGAGGCATAAAATGCATTTATCTAAATAAACATTTATGTACATATGTAAAAATGTATTAAAACATTAATTTAAATACCTACAATATTTTAGAAGAAATAAATCAATGTTTTGGGCAATCGGAGCAAGCTGGCCACCGTGGCCGACCCGTGCAGATTAGTTTTACACGCTGCCGACATATGGCACTGCATATGCGACGCGGTTAAAGCTCCTCTATCCTGGGAAAAGTGACGCCATTCATTGTTGTAGAAATGCTCGAGGCTCGTGCCGTGCGCCACTTCTGGGAAATTCATGGCGTCTGAAATCTAGCTCAGTGCTGCGCTGTGCCGCCATGATCTTTCCAAGGGCTGCACATTGCACTTGCCTCATGCATCAACGAACCTTGCGCTACGTTTAAAACACGAAGGGGCTTTAGACGCGGTCGGTAGAGAAGCCGTCGCCCAAGTTCACATATCGATAAATGTGTCGTTATTTATTGAAATACCTTAAAGGTCCTTCTGGGAAGGACATTACATAAGGCGGGGACAAGTACATCATATATGAAACAAAAAAATAATAAAAAACATGCACAGCAGTGCAAACATATAAAACATTGTAAATCAATCAACAAAAAATAATATCTTCCACAGTGTTGCCAACATACAAGAAATCATGTCATACAATGCCTAAAAGGCTGCTGATAAGAGAACGAAAGCTATCAGGGTTAATCACAGTGACGATGCGCTCTGTTAGATCATTCCACCACACTGCTGTTTTGGGAAGGGAGGAGCACAAAAAAGAAGTGCGGCAGGTGAAACTGTCAATCTTACATGAGTGATTAAGACGAGGTGTAACGAAATGCGACTGAGTTAAGGTGCCTTGGCTGAGAGATGGTGCATAGTAAATGCGATGAAAAAGGTATAAGCAAGAAAGCTTGCATTTTAAGGCCAGTTCTGGAAGGTCGGCTTTCTGTTTTAATAAGGTGACGCTGGAATGTCGAGAATAATCAGAAAAAATAAAGCGCGCAACACGGTTTTGAAAGGCTTCTATTTCAGTGATCAAATATGCTTGGTAAGGATCGCAGATGCTCGATGCGTACCCAAGTTTCAGCTGAATCAATGAAAGGTATGCAGTTTTCTTTGAGTGAGGAAGAGCACAACGAAGTGTGTGTTTTAGGTAGCCCAAACAATGATTGCACGATGATAACAGTGATTGAATATGTACCTTCCAGGAGAGATGCGAGTCGACGTGAACACCTAAGTATTTATAAGAAAATGTCAAAAGCATCGGCGCTTTTTTCGACTGAACTGTAAACACGCCATGGTGGCAACCACTGCGGCAGGAGTGAACTTCGAATACAGAAAGGTGCGGTTCAGCGATTGGACGGCACCTAGGAAAAACCAGACGGATGGGGGAGAAGCTGAGGATGTCTTCACCGATGCCGGCAGACGCCAGCGGGCAATCTTTCAATCCGCACAAAAACTGCCTCTGCAAGGGCGATTCAATCGTCGCAAGCAAGTGGCTCACGAGGCAGCTGAAGCGTTTCTCACAGAACTGAACTATGCTTCCTTCAACTCGAAAATGCTTACGTCACCAATCCTGTAGTTTATTTTTATTCTCCAAGTTTTTGACAACAAAGACTGGTCCACCTTCCATTTCGTGAAAACCTGGAAACAGTGCAAAATAAACGAAGGATAAGAACGAGAAATGAACAAATACAACGCTGACTGGCAACTGAAGTTTATTCTTGCGAGGAATAAACTTCAGTTGCCAGAAAGCATTGTGTCCGTTCACTTTTTGTTCTTGTCCTTCATTTATTCTGCGCTGTTTTCAAGTTTTCATAATGCACCAACCAGCCCAACTTCGTGCTTTCTTTCCATTTTGTGTCGTGTTTCGTTGCTAGAGTTAGTGCCAGCGGTAACTGGGACCAAATCCAGCTGAGACCAATTCCAGATTGGACCAGTTCTAACTGGGACCAGTTGCAACTGGGACCCGCTTGACCCGGGGCCTGCACAAACTGGGAGACCAGCCGCAACTAGGAATTGTTCCATAAATTAGTTGAACTGGGACTAGTTGGATCCCAGTTGAAAAGTTTTACTTGGGTGTACTTTGTTCACCCCTAAGCTGGTGGTGGGAGCTACGCACACGCCGGACCAGTCGACCGCCTCGGCTTCGTCACCTGACCCCGCTCTTTGCGCATGGCTATGGATGAGATCACGTGGCAAAAGATAAACGTGCGACTGGTCAATGAGCTTCCACTGCACTGTCGGCTTAGGGGTGAACGAAATATAATGATGGAGCCAGACTGCACCTTGCTGTGTTGGAATTGTTCGAGACACAAACATACTTCATTAACTTTATATGCTTATTACTGCAGTAGAGTACGCAGTTGGGCGAGTTGGTGACCAATTCATTTATATCGTGGAAGGCTCAGCCCTTCTTTTGTTCTCCATGGAGAGTCCCCTTTAATAAATTCGCCCACTGCTGTCTTTCCCTAAGCCAGGGGCAATAAAA